CCTCCTCCTCCTCCTCCTCCTCCTCCTCCTCCCCCTCCTCATCATCATCATCAGCATCATCATCCTCGACCCCCTCTTCCTTCTCGTTAAATTGCCCTGGAAATGGCGTGGCTGGTTTTGTTCGCCGTTGTGAACACATTGCTCGTTGCCGGTGAATACGGCAAGGTAGACGCTTGACCAACGACACGGTCTTGGTGTCCCAGAAATCGGTCGGAGTTGGTGTGAACATTGCGCGCGCGGACTTGTTGAGCAATGTGTGATTCGGCCCGGGCCCCCAACAGGGGAGGGAACGACATCGGTAACTCAACCGCGCCAGACACGCTTATCATGTGCACGACTTCTGTGCAACAGAAAGATGACTCCAAACGGCACAAAAACGGCCCTGTCGCTTCGAGGGCCCACTGAGTCTGCGGCTCGCCCTTCGCCTTTCGTTTGGCGGGCGAAGAGCGGCACGTTTGGTGAGGAGCGTTTGCCCAGCGCGGCGCGACGCCAATTCTGGCCCGCGGTGCTTCGGCGCCGCGTGCTGCGCACGCTCCCAAATCCCAAAGCATCAGCGTTCCGAATTGTTTTCAGCTTCCCGTCCCGCGAAACAGAGCGCCACGCTATCGGTTCGAATGGCAGGCACAGCATGTCACATGGGGTCGCCGCCGCGATACGCGAGTCAATGTTTCTGACAGCATCACACAGCCAAGACGCCGACATGAGGTTCTGCAGTATGGAATTGGGATCGGGATCGGCGCCTCTTGTTGCTTTTTCGCCCCTTTTCTCCTCCCCATCAAGCAGCGGCCAGGCCATCAAGGTTTGTGTCCGCGTGCGGCCGTTCAACTCGAGGGAGAAGGAACTCGGGGCCCAGCTGTGCGTAGAGATCGGCCAGTGGGAGAAGGACCTCGTCATCGTCACGAATCCGAAGGCTCCAGACCATTCTCGCCTCTCCTCTTCCTCCGCCTCTTCTGGTTCCTCCTCTGCAGTGGAAACCCATATCAAGAAGCATCCTGCTTGCCTCCATGGTTCCCTGGGTTTCTAGGGTTTCGATGGTTTTGCGATGGAAATCGTGACGTTGCCACACCAAACATCCATGGACGTCCTGGGATCTCAGGTTTATGTTTCTTGGGGAAGGTTTCTTGCGGTCGAGCTCCTACGTTATCCTGCTCTGGCTTGGCGATATCACATTTCCCATCGGGCACGTTGCTTGGTGCCACGGAATGCTAATCGTTTTTGTGTTGCGTCCCAGTCTTCCTTTCAGCCTTCCTCGGTCTTCTCTACATCTTCGTTGGGAGCACAAAAAACAATCTCTCGAAGGCGCCTGACCAAAGGAAACAGTTCAACTTCGACCGGGCGTACTGGTCGCACAATCCCAGCGACCCGCACTTCGCGACGCAGCAGACTCTGATGGACGAGGTCGGCGACGAGTTGGTAGAGGCAACTTTGGAGGGCTACAATGTGTGCTTCTTTTGCTACGGCCAGACGGGCAGCGGGAAGACATTCAGCCTGTTGGGCAACAAGGACAACTCTGATATTGTTGTCTTGTTGTCCTCCTCCCCCTCATTCCGTCCCTCCTTTCCTCCGTTCCCTCCTTCCGCATCCCCTCCTTCCCCTTCCCCCCTCTGTTCTCCCCTCCCCCCTCTCTCATTCCTATATTCCTCCTCTCTACTCCGCAGCCCTCCTCCCTTCCCTCTCTTCCCCTTCCTTTCTCCCCCATGTTCCTTGTCATTCAGCATTCCCTCCCTCCCTCGTCCCCATCTCCTTGCATGACACATCCATTCCTCCCTCCTCCGCCCCTCCCCAGTTCTGGATCCCTCCTTGGTCCCCCTCTTCCCTCCCAGATCCGTCTTCTCGGAGGAGGCCACATGCCACATGAGACAGCGGCGAATCTCCCGCCCAGCCCAGATTCGCTCAGATCGGCCCCATGGACCCCTCGCGAGATGCTGACCCGTTTCTCGAGTTGGATCCGTCCCAGGGGGTGCCTTGCTGGCCCACAGTGCGGTCGTTTGGAGGCCGTGCTGTGGTGACACACGAGGCCCTCTCCGATGGGCCTCCCCTGGTGTTTTCGCCGACCCGTCGGACTTCTGTCTTTCTCTCTCTCTCTCTCTCCTTTTCTCCCTCAGCGGCATGCGATCGAACAGGGCGGGACCGAAACGCTGTGTTGCTGGACTTCGGCTGTGTTTTGTTGTTTCGTTTTGGCAGGGGGGTGCAGGAAGGCAGGGAGAGCAGATCGAAACGCAGAACGAAGCACAACGTTTCGGTCCAGCCCTGCGACCGAGGTGGATCCCGCCGTGTCGACGGGAAGCGTCCGGCCTCCCGTCCTCGTCCCCATCCTCCCCCCGCCCTCGTGTCGCGGCGACGCCACGAGGCCCGCCCGCTCGAGTGTGCCGGCGCGGGCCCGCGGCGCTGCGTCAGGGGCGGTTGCTGCCACCCCCGTCGCTGTCCGTCGTCGCTGCGCTCGTGCGTCTCTCGTCCTCGAGCCCGTGCGCTGCTATCGCTGTCGTGCGTCGTGCGCCGCTGTCGTCCTTGAGCTCGTGCGTCGTTGTCCGTCTTCGCTGGGCTCGCGCGTCTCTCGTCCTCGCCGTCGCCGCTCGTAGTCGAGCGGCCGAGTCTGTACGCCTCCACTGCCCCCTGGCCGGGCCCATGCTGAAGCCAGCAGCGGTGTGTGTACGTCGCGCTCTCCTGGCTTGGCCAGGAGGGCTTATGCCGCGTCCGTGGCTTCTGTTGTTCGTTCTCTCTGCCGAGACCTCGCGCCCTTCTGGGGCGCGCGCGCGAGGCCAACACTGATGCGCAACTTTTCCACCACCACTACCATCTGTAGGACGGGGGAGAAGGGAGGATGAGGAGGTCCTCCTCCTCCCCCTCCACCTCCTCCTCCTCCTCCTCCTCCTCCTCCTCCTCCTCCTCCTCCTCCTCCTCCCACCTTTGGTAGGTGTGGTGGAAAATGGGCCCATCAAACCTAGAATTCTGGAAGTCTCTCTCCTGCGTACGTCCTTCCCAGCGTGCCCGCCTTGCTGGGGTGGCGAGGATGACCCGAACCTGCGCGGGATGCTCCCGCGCGTGGTCGAGCGGCTCTTCGATCGCATCGCCGAGGTCGCCTCGGTCAAATCGGCGACGACGACGGCGATGCTGCCGCCGCTGCCGACTATGACGACGACGACGAGGCAGGGAGGAAGAAAAGGGGGAGAGAGATGAAGGGAAGGAGGAAGGGAGGAAGGGAGGAAGGGAGGAAGGGAGGGAGGGAGGAAGGGGGGAAGGGGGGAAGGAAGGAAGGAAGGGAGGAAGGAAGGATGAGGAGGAATGGCCCCCTGGTGCTCTGGGGGGTGACTGCGTGCCTTCTGCTGGCACAAGGGTGTATTGCGCTGCTGTGCGGGCCCTCTGGTGACGAGAACCTCCCGAATACGCCGCCCAGTGCCCAGGTTCCAGTCGACACTGGCAGACAACCCCCCGACGCTACCACTCGGACCGGCTGGTAACGCGAAACGGATGGCCGCGTGCGGGCTTCAAAAGTAGAGGACTCATAACATTCGATCAGCCATTCGGCTGCGTCGACAGCCCCCGGGTGCCCGCATTAGCATACTCGAAAGCAGAGATGATTTGCCATCCGCCGCTGTGGAACAAGGCTGGTATGCCCCCCTGGGCCAAAATTCTGTCGGCCCATCAGCGCCGAAAAAGTGCGTCCCTCATCCAAATGCGCGGGGAAATTCAATGCGCCGCATGCCATTTGTAGGGACGCAAGTGCGCTCCCGTTTGACAGGTTCGCGAAGGGACGCCCCTTCGCGGGGGCGGCGTTTTAGCGCGCACACCCCGCAAAGAGGCGGCGTTAGCAATTCGCAAATGCACCGCCGCGTGGCGGCCGCACACAGCTGTCAGAGTTATCCTTTGTGCAACCGCGCGGTCGCTTCCCAATGCCCGTGTTTGTCTTGGAAACGCACGGACGAGTGGTGGCCCTCTGTCGTCAAGGGCAGTAGTTCCGAACCGTAAGGGAGCACACATGGCAAGCCACAGTAAAGATGTCAGCAAACTGCGTACCCCTCGGAGACGTGAAATGCTTCGCCAGATCTCTCGCCTGCGCTGCAGAAAACAATCGGGCGAAAGCGAACGGTTCTTCTCGCCTTGCTCGCCCCGCGGGGCAGTCCAGCAGCGTCCGTCATGCTACCCAATTTTTGCTTTGATCATCAACCGGTACTCAAAACGAACTTGTCCACCATCTGTTGAGAAACTCGGCCCTCTTGGAACAGCAAGGGCTGACTTGCGTCTTGTATGATGCCCCCCTGTCCCCCGCTGTCGAATTGGAGACTCACCGAGCCAACTCGCACAACGCCTGCATCTCGGCGCGCCGCGTGTCTTCTGGTCTCCAAGATTCCACGCGGCTCCGCGGTCGTGCACCAGAAAGAAACGGTTCGTTTGCAACAGCAGCTGCACCTGATCAGCCAGGGCGCGGGCGACGGCCTGGATGGCGCCCGCCAGCACGCGAGGTTGCGGAGTTTGATTGCGATCCCGCGCTGTTGCCACCAAGTCCAGAGCCGCGAGCACCTGCCCCGCGCCTTGCGGGCCCCCGCCGGAGTATTTTCTGACTCGCGGCGCGCTTTGCCCCAGCGCGCTGATCGCTGCGAGCTCGCGCCCGTTTGGCCTGGCCGCCAGGTCGCGCCGGCTCCGCTGCGAGATCGCCCGCGCAGCCTGCCGGACAAGGCCGGACGCTGCGGGGTTATTGGGTCGCTCAAAGCGCGCCCCGTCGCCCCCTCGCGCTCGACGGCGCCCCTTCTAGCACTGCTTGCAGGCCAACATTGGCGTTGGCGCCGGGGCCCGCGGTCGGCTGGATCATGCAGGATGGTTCTTTGAGGGCATGAATTCAATAGCGCGAGTCACCTCGCGGTTGGGGGGGAGATGCAAAGCTGACGCAATGGCGACGATCGAGATTCAGCAGGGCCGGCGCATTCGCCGCGAACCGTGGCCCGCGCTTTCTTGATGCCGCGGCCCGGGGGGCGCCCGGAAGCACGTCGAGCCCAACCCGCCCAGGCATGGCCCTACTGGAGAGGAAGGGGGGGGGGCGAGGATTGAGAAGGAGAGGGCGAGTGAGCGCCCCCTTTGCGACTGCGCAGGAAACGCGCTGCGGCGCGCTGGTCAGGGAGCTAAGCGCGGCGGCAACGGACGATCGCGTTTTGTTTTGGTTTGTCTTGCCCGACGACCGCGCGCGCGCGCTGGCCCGCGAAGTCCCTGCCGGCCACTGCCATGCAACTTCTTGTCGCCTGCAGCCGAGTAGTTCTCGCGCAGCGCCGTCTGTCAGACTTCGCTTCGACGGCGCCCTCCAGGCGATAAGCTGGCGCCCTTGATCCGCCGCTGCGAATCGCACTCTGGGCGCCGACTCATCCCAATCGGCCCCTCTGGAACGACCGGTAAGAATCGCCCCGGGCGCGACTGCAGAATTCGCGCCGCGCGGGATATCGGCGCCAGCGCCGCGAACTAGGCGGGGCATCTACCGCCACCCGCGCGAGGCGGCAATCGATTCCCGCGCGCTTAGAGCGGGGCCGCGCCCGATCCCGTCGTGGCCGAGAGATTGCCGCGCTGGCGAATGCCCGCGTGGCCGTGAAGACGCAGCTCGCGCGACCGACGCGCCGCCCGTGGCATCTGCGCACAAAGCCGACCGCGGCAATGCCCGAGGTTGCAGTGGGGCGCGCCTCGCTGGGCGCGTCGACAACGGCCGCGGCCGCCAGCCCAGCGCGCGGCGCGCGGGCCCGGGGAGAGAGATTCTTCTGCCCGCGCAGGATCGGCGCAAGAGGGGTGACATAGAAACGCGCGCTGCGCGATTGATGATTCGCGCGCAGCCCCGGTGCTGCACCCCGGCGAGCTTCTGGACCTCCGTCGGAGGGAGCGCCCCTGCTTCGAGGACAGACAGAATGTCGCGCGTCCACTGTCCGCGTCTGTTCTGGGGAGCATGAGAAACTACGTCGCAGGTGCCCGTGTGTTCCCGGCCCAGTAGATCCAGCATGCCAAACCTCGCCATGTCCGCAGCGCCCGCGGGGGGGCCAGGGCCATCTGCGGAGCGTTTTTTTTTTTTGCTTCCGTCTCTTCGGCCCGCGCCAGGCAGGCGAAGACCCGAGGGCTCGCGCCGCGCCAAAACGCAGCAAAATAACACGCCGGGGGCACTTGCTGGAACGCCCCGCCAACTTGGCGCAATGAGCGCGCGCCAGAGAGCGCCCCACACGGGCGCGAGACGAGTTGCGTCGCCCCCGCAGACAAAATCTCACGAGCTCCGACGACGTCGCATTTCCGAAAGGTCGCCGGGGCCCTGTTCCGGCCTGGAACAGGGCCGCGTCGGTCTTCGCGCCATTTCTTCTCTCTATCCGAGGTCGCGCCGTTAAAAAATTCGGTGGCCTGGTTTGTCCGGACCCGCGACTCCTTTCGACATCTGCGGGCCATCATGCTAAGTGCGCCTGGCAAGCTTTTTCCGCCTGCGCCTGCATCTACGCGTCGTTGTTGCGAGCTCGATTCATGCGCGGGGTCGCGGCTCGACACGCGACTCAATCGCAACAAAATTGCGCGGTTGCCCTGGGGCGCCTGGCGCACCAGCGCCTCCGTCGAGGTGCCAGCCCATCCCATCCCGGGCCAGATGGTGGGGGAGGTAGCTGTCGGGGCCACCGCTGGCGCGCAGCATGTTCGATGACAAAAGGAGGTTCTCGTCGGGGCCTAGAGCGGCCAGGGCGTGGCCTTGTAAAGGTTGCAGCTGCTCTGCCAATCTGGGGACCGTCCCTCGTTTCCTGCGCCGCCAGAAATTCGCCGCGCCAGCGCGTGTCTTCAAAATCCGTCGAGGTCACAGGCGGCGGCTTCCAAGATTGAACCAATTGCGCGAGGCAGATGAATGGTGCCTTCGCACCCGGGCAAAGAGAGCGAGTGCTCTTTCAAGGCGCATCCAGGGCGTTGTCTTTTTCAAGCGTTCTGGACAAGCGAGGAGTTCATCGGCGCGCCCCGTCAGCTGCTCAAAAGGGGCAGTCAGCTTGAACGCCGAGGGCTCTTCGGCTCCTTCTCGCGGTTGCTCGGCCGACGCTTCGCTGTCCGAGTTGTCGGATTCGGCCTTTCACCGCCTGCCCTTCGCGGCGCCGCCGCCTTGCCGCCCCGACCGTCGGCGCGCTGCCGCTGCCTTTCACGTTGGACGCTCCGCGAAGTCTGCCTGTCCGGCGTCGCCCCCCCTCGCGTCGACCCCGTTCCGCGCGCGCCGACCTGTCTTCCAACCTCCTTGGCCGCTGCTCTGGCCAGCTTTCGCCGCGCCATTGGATGCCGCCGCGGTCGTTCCCTCGGCGCGTTGGCCCGCCTTTGTCTTGGCGTCCGGCATCGCGCGCCTGTCGATGTCGCAGAGGGGGTGAAAACCTGGACGCTTTCTTGCCCTGCCCCATCGCCCTCGCAAGTTTGCGGCGAAGGTTTCAGTGGTCGGCGGTTTGGCCCCACCGCGCTCCCTCGTGAGCCAGGCGAGCACGAGCGCGCGCGCCAAGAGCTGCGACGTCGCCATGACCTCGCGAGCGCCGCTTTCAGCCCCCAGCGTTCGGCGTGGCCCATGAGCGTGGCGAGCCCTGCGAAGCAAGGTTTCTGTTCCGTTGATAGGGCTTTCTTGGCATCCAAAACCGTTTTAATTTTGTCTTCCGCCGACCCGTCGCCGACGTGAGTGCCCAGCTTCGGGGTCCGCGACATGAGTGGCCAGAAGTTATTGTTGCTTCGCGTATCCCCACCAGCCCATCCAGAAACGATGCCCAGGTGGGTGCCTTGATCAGGGAAGTGGGGAGCACACAGAGGAACAAAGAGTTCGGGAAACCGTCGTACACCAAGAGGGGGAGGATGAAGGTGGAACCGGAGGAGGGGGAGGAGGAGGAGAAGGAAGAGGAAGAGGAAGAGGACGAGGAGGAGGAGGAGGAGGAGGAGGAGGAGGAGGAGGAGGGGAATGGGGGAGGAGGGAGGAGGAAGGAAGAGGAACAGGCGGATGAGGAGGAGAAGAATAACAGGAAGAGGAACAGGAAAATGGCGAGCTTGGGAGCCTATTGGAGCGTCTTGGGAACCTTTTGGCGGTCCTGTGCGCCTCTCAGAGCGTCTTGGGTGCTTCGGGGGGCCGCTTGGGACCTCTTGGGGGTCTTTAAGGAGTCTCTTGGGGGTATCTTGGTGCCTCGTTGGGGCCCTGTTTGGCACTCTTGGGAGCGTTGGGGGCGCTCTTGGAGGAGGAGGAGGACAGAAGGAGGCGGAGGAGGAGGAGGAGGACGAGGACGAGGAACCGGAGCAGGCGGGACCGCGGGAGGGGAGACGATGTGGAGGAGGAGAGGAGGAGGAGGAGGAGGAGGAGGAGGAGGAGGAGGAGGAGGAGGACGAGGAGGAGAGAGGAGGAGGAGGACGAGGACGAGGAGGAGGAGGAGGAGGAGGACGAGGACGAGGACGAGGAGGAGGAGGAGGAGGAGGAGGAGGAGGAGCAGGGGAGAGGAGAGGAGGGGAGAGGAGAGGAGAGGAGGGGAGCTGAGGCAGGGAGGATGGGCAATGAACAGACTGGTCGCACCCGTTACGCGACGGTTTTATTCTCGGCCGCCAAGGGCGCAACCTATTGCGCAACCGATACGAGACGGTTACATTCTCGGCCGCCGAGGGCGCAACCTATGGCGCAACGGGTAGGAGACGGTCTTCTTCTCTGCCGCCGCGGGTGCAACCTATGGCGCATCTGGTAGGAGACGGTTTTCTTCTCGGCCGCCGAGGGCGCAGCCTACGGCGCAACCGATAGGGGACGGTTTTGTTCTCGGCCGCCGAGGGCGCAGCCTACGGCGCAACCGATAGGGGTAGGTTTTGTTCTCGGCCGCCGAGGGCGCAGCCTACGGCGCAACCGATAGGAGACGGCTTTATTCTCAGCCGCCGAGGGCGCAACCTATGACGCAACCGATAGGAAACCGAACTGGAGCATGGGGAAGACGAGGAAGACGAGGAGGAGGAGAAGGAGGAGGAGGAGGACGAGGAGCAGGACGACGACGACGATCAGGATGGGAAGGAGGACGGGGCAGTGTGTGGGATCTTGGGGTGGCGTTCTACATTTCCTGGCATCTGCGTCGCCTATGAACGCGAGCCACTTCGCGCCTGGAGATTAGATGACGGGGGCCACTTGTCTTGTGGATGCCACACAATGGACACCCTAACAGTCCTATCATTGAGCTTAACATGGGCAAAAAATGCTGGACGCAGGACGGCGACGATCAGGATGGGAAGGAGGACGAGGAGCAGGACGACGACGACGACGACGATCAGGATGGGATGGGGACGAAGTGTGGGCATTCGAATGTGTGTGTGGGGCTACGCCCGGTTTATGCTCGCCGTTTGTGCTGGCGGTGGGGCCCAAGCGGCAAGCTGTATTGTGTGTTGTTTCTTACACAAGGGTTTCAGCCAGTTTCGTAACACGTGTTTGCACTTCGGGGCTCGTAGTTGATTTTCTTGCGTGATTGGGTGGTTTTCCCAGTGTTTCGCTTCGTTAGCGTCCGTGCCCGCTCGAGGGCGCCTCGTGGGCGCCACATGCGCTGGGCGGGTGTCCCGAAGGTTCGCCCCTTTGGCGCCCGTGCCCGTTCGTGGGCGCCTCGTGAGCGCCTCGTGCGCCCATGCGCGACAGCTTACTCAACAGAGCTTGCACCGCATAGCTTGCACCGCACAGCCTGCACCAAACAGCTCACACCGTAGAGCTTGCACACCACAGTTTACACCGCATCCCATGCCGTGTAGCTTGCACCGCATAATTTGCACCACATGGCTTACACCGCGCAGCCACTTTCACGTGTATCGCCCCACAGCTTACACAACATATGTTAGACTACATAGCTTACACCACATAGCCCACACGCTTACACAGCATAGCTCACACGGCTTGCACCGCATACGTTCCATTTGCACAGTGCAATCATTTAATCGCTTCGCTCATTCAGCCGGTCCGTGTTGTGCCATCGCAGGCGTTTGCTTCCGCGTTCGTGGCCTCTTGGGACCTCTTGGAGGCCGTTTGGGGGCCTCTTTTGTGCCGCTTGGGGGCCTCCAGTGGCCGTCCTGGGCTCTCGTGGGGGCATCTTGGGGCGTCCTGGGGGCCTCGTCGGGCGGAACTCTCGAAACATTGGTTCGTGCTCCCTCTTGGGCCCCTCTTGGGGCCGTCTTGGGGCCCTCTTGTGCGATCTTGGGCGCCTCTAGGGCCGTCTTGAGGCCCTTTTGGGGGCCTCTCGGGCTGTCTTGGGGCGGTCTTGGGGGCCTCTTGGACAATCTTGGAGCGTCGGGTTCTCGAGAACGCGAGAACGCGAAATACGTCGAACAACATAAGGAAAATCAATGACTGCTGCTTCTTTTGGCCTTCTTTAGGGTCCTCTTGGGCCGTCTCGAGGCCATCTTGAGCACTCTGGGAGCGCTCTTGGACCGTCTTCGGGTCCTCCTGCATCTCTCTGAGGCCATCATGGGGGCATCGTAGGCCGTCTTGGAGGCTTCTGGAGCCATTTTGAGCGCTCGTGCAGCGCTCTGGGATGCCTGGAAGGCCGCACCCGGGAGCCAAACCATCTCGGATCCGAGTCTGCCGGGACCTTGCCGAGGGTTCCAGGGGGTATTTTTCGTCTAGGGTGCGGCCCCGCGCGCGCGAATTAGATAGATATGCAAGTCACTTGTTTCCGCAGATCTTAGTACGCCTCTGGCCCGTTGGGCCGACGAATTCATTGTTGGGGGTCCATGCTTACTAAGATGACATTTGCGATGTTGATGCAATTCACGCTGCAGCTACGGCCTATGCTTAAGATGGACGCTTTCCTCCCATCAATCAGAATGACGAATGTCCTTCTTGCCCAAGAGGGGGGCACTTTTCTGGATCCAAGAGCTTCCTCATCGTTGTCCGCTCGCTCCTTTCCTCTCCCCCGCCTTCTCTTGTCATCCTGCTTTCCCCGCTTCTTCCTCTCCTGGTCTTGCTGCTGCCCTTCCTCGTCCTTCTCCATCCTCCCTCCTCCTCCTCCTTTTTTCTTCCTCCTGCTCACCCGCCTGCTTAGCTCCAATGCACGCAGTTCCCCTTCTGTGATTGCGCATGGCACGGGGTCCTTCGGGGGTTGCAGGTCCGCTACGACACCAGCGGGCGGATAGAGCAACAATGTGCGCAATGGGAAGGGATCTGTGGGAGGGTAGGCTGTCAGATCGGGCGCGATCGCACTTACCTTGTGCCTATCCCTTCTGCCTCTTCCTCCTTCGCCTCCCTGCCGAGATCACCTCGGGCGGCAGCGGCAGCACGATCACCTGCACGGTGCAGTACTACGAGATCTACAACGAGGCGATCAACGACCTCCTGGCCAAGAAGGTCGAGGGCGTGGAGGCCAAGAAGCTCGACGTGAGGTGCCCCCCAGAGGGTCTGCTCCGATCCGAGCCGACGGCGATTGCGGTCCGCCCGATCCGAATCGGCTCTGGTACTCTGGCGATCCAACGCGGCCCGATGTTGGCACGGGCGCTGCTCTGCACCCTGGCGCGGTCGATCGGGTTCGCTCCCGACTCCGTGCCACGACGTTGGTCTGCCACGGTGCCGGTTTGCTGCCGAGGTGAGGGCCGCGGTTCGTAGTCTGATCGTTGCGGGCTGCCGCTCTTTTGGGGCTTCGCGGTTTCGGCGTTGTTTTCTCCTCTTCCACCCGGCTCGTTCTCTCTCCGCTGCGCATGGTGGTCACAAGCTCGGGGGGGTCCAGCTCGATGCCGGTGGAGCAGAACAGAGACGCTTCCGGCTCCGCGCCGATGCGGCCCGAGGCGATGCGTGCTCCCATCCGCTCCGACCTCGCGATGCGGCTGGCTGCTCGGGGACCCTCGCGTCCTCCTCCCTCGCGGTCGCCAGACGGCACCGCCGGAGGCCCACGGCACGGCGCCCGGGCTCCAGACGCGCCGCGCTCGCTGGTTCTCTCGGGCCCTGGGAGGCCAGGACGGGCACGAACGTCGGAGGCCCAGAGGTTGGCGCCGACACCGCTGTCGGCGGCGTGCCTCGCCTCCGCCGGGGGAAGGTGCTGCCGATCTTGGAGGGTTTATTCCAACATCGTTGAGGACTCTTGGGTTTACACTCCTCCTCCTCCTCCTCCTCCTCACCCTCCTCCTCCTCCTCCTCCTCCTCCTCCTCCTCCTCCTCCTCCTCCTCCTCCCCGTGATGGTGCTAATGTCCGGTCCCCCGGGGTGGCCGAAGTGTTGCCACCAAGGCCAAGTTCCAGCCGCATCTTCCCCTGGTGGAGGCAAGCCCCTGAGTTGGTGTCGGTGCCCGTTTCCAGGCCTCCCACAATCAGGGCACTGTCAATCCGCAGCCAGCTCAGCTCAAGGAGGACTTGGGCTCAGGGAATGTCGTTTCGACCGAAGCCTATGGTTGGCGCCGTTGGTGCCGTGCCAGATCTTTTCTCGGAGCAGTTTTCGTGTAGGTGCTTCTTACGACCCCCCAGCACCAATGCTTTCAATTGCGCTTCTATTTGCGTTCGCACAGTGGACGTCATGCCTCAGCGCGTAGCCAGCAATGTACACGGATGGCAGCAAGGACGTCTCAGATGACATTTGGCCGCATGATTTCAATTTGGCACGGCAGATGCCCAACCTAGCCCGAAGCAGGTTGTCCATGGATGTTTCTCCGATTCGCGTTCATGGCGCTAGCCTCGTTGTTCTTGGCATGGGCATGGATATCTCATCCAACGAAGTCCCCCGCCTAAGGAAGATGGCAGGTTTTTGCAACTGGTTTGATGCGGGATCGTGCCCATTGTGGGTGTTGGTCGGTCACGTGGACCCCATATTGCAAGCCGAATTGGAAACGGAAATGGCTCATCTAAGATGTTTCATTGATCCGCGTTCTAGGTCGAAAAATAAACACGTGCCATCACGTATGCTAGGGTTCGTTTTTTCCTGTCTTGAGAAGGGACTTGAAGTGGGCACTCACTACGTGATGGTAGCAGACATGGACGACATTTTCCAGTGGGATGACATTACCATCGGCGCAGTCACCAATGTTTTGGCACCCGCACATCGAAACATATGGGATGGTGTTGCATTTGCGTCCGGTAATTATTACGATTGGTGGACTTTGAGGTGCAATCGTACGAGTTCAACTTGTTGGGCTACAAAAAACCAGTCACATGCTCTGAGCTGGCCATAGTTTCTTGTCTAGGGGAGGCTACGGAACCTTCGGGCGTGAAATTCATCCCTGTTGATTCGGCATTCAACGGCATTGTTCTATACAGAACAAATCATGTTGGTGATTGCAGATATAATGGATTGAGTCACCCTACGTGGAACATAGAGTTATTAGGATTGCGAGCACGTTGCGTTTACCAGGTGCAGGATGGATGGATGGACCGGATTGCGAGCACGTTGCGTTTACCAGGTGCATGGTATCCCATAGAGCACACATGATGCGGTCTTCGTTGTCAATCCACAACAGTTACGCGGCTCCATGTTGCGACAGTAAGCGGAAGTAAATCCACGCGGGTTGGCGAACGGCTATGTATATGGCAGCGCGTTTGGCGGATTGCATCGCGAGCGTATTTGGCGCCCCTGTGATTAGCATTCGTTTCTTCCTCCCTTCGTCGCCTCCTCCTCCTCCTCCTCCTCCTCCTCGTCCTCCGTCTCCCCCTCCGCCCTCCTCACCGTCGTCCTCTCAGCGCTGGTGCAGAATGAATACAGTTCGGCACGCATTTGGCGTGCCGTACTCTTCTCCACACCCGCCCTGTCTGCAGGCGTTCTGCCCTTGAGCGCCCATGCAGAATGAATGCAGTTCGCCACGCAGTTGGCGTGCCGTACCCTTCTCCGCCCCCTCGCTGTCTGCAGGCTTTTGGCCTCTGACACTCTCGGGAGCAGTCGTAGCCGTATCCAGAGTCCCGCAGAAAGAATCGCATAATCAGGACATTGTCATGCCGGGGAAGCGACGATTTGGTCGTCCAGTGCACGTTGCTGACGTGAATTTGCTGAAGAGTACGCTCAGCAGCCACAAGCTCATCAAAAGCTTCTTGCTGCTGCAGCTCCAGCTCCACATGTTGATCCCTTATCCTGTAGTGCCGAAAACTTAGCCTCTAGGTCAGCCTTGCGCGAGTCGATTTTCTCAAGCTTCCTGCACAAGTTTTCGACCCTGTGCCTGGCGGTGCAGATCGTCGGCGGGTCGGCCACCAGTTCTGGCTCCTGGGTGACTTCAACGGCCCGCAGCGCGTCGGCCTTGAGCCCCGTCTCGCGCAAGAGCGCGAAACGGGCTTGAACGTGAGGGCGGCGGACTGCGGGGCTGAGCCACCTGAGGCCCCTCCTCCAGATCGGGACTGGTTACCACTGGGCGGCGCTGGCTGCGCCCCCCTGGACAGCTTCTCGACCTTCGCCGCGAGAGCTGCTTGCCGATCGCGTCCCGAGGGGGGCCTCGCTGCCATGCACCTTGCGGGGGCCGCGCGGCCGCGGGGGAGGGGGCCTTTCGGGCTGCGACTCGAGCGGCCGTTGGCCACTCTGCACGAACGAACAACACACACCCATAAAGTACCCATAGGAGGGTCGTTGGGAGGAGGACTGGCTATGGATATGGGTGCGGGTTGTCGGACCCTGGGGAACGCTCCCGTTCGAGCGGGGACCCCCACTCGACAACACGCACCCATAGCCCTCTCCGACCCCCCTATGGGTATGGGTGTGTGTTGTTGGTTCGTCAACTCTCGCAGGTGTTGCCCTCCCACGTCCACGGCCGCGGATCCTCGACGCCCCGTTCTCTGTTTCCCCACGAGCGCAGCCCCAAGTTAGGAGCCTTAGCCCTCGAGGGCAGCACGGCTGCTTGAGCCAAAATGGCTTGAGCCAAAGTGGCTGCGCAGGAGGAGGAGGAGGAGGAGGAGGAAGAAGAAGAAGAAGAGAAGGAGGAGGAGGAGGAGGAGGAGGAGGAGGAGGAGGAGGAGGAGGAGGAAGAGGAGGAGGAGGAGGAGGAGGAGGAGGCAAACCGCCTCTTGGGGCCCTCGTGGGACGCTCTTGGGCGCTCCTGGGGCCGTCTTGGGGCCTTCTTGGGAGCCCTGTGAGGCTTCTCGGGGCAATCCTGGGGCCATCGTGCCTCTTGGGCCTTTCTTGGGGCGCTCTCAGGCGCTCTTGGGGCCGTCTGGGGGGCCTCTTGTGCCCCTCTTGGGCCTCTCTTGGGTCATCTTGAGGCCATCTTGGGGCCTCGGAAGGGCACCAGAAGCCAAAAGGCGAGAAGCCACACATCATTGATTTTCCGTTGGTTTTTGACGGGTTTGGGCTTTCTCGGAGGAGTCCTGAGGGGGCTCCGAGAGCCTTTGGAACCGTCTTGTTGTCTTCGTCGGGCTTCTTGGCGGCATCTCGGAAGCTATCTCGAATCATCTTCGGCTAGCTCGAGCCGCCTTGGAGGCCATCTTGGAGCATCGGAAGCCCTCGTGGAGCCATCTTAGGCCATCTTGGGCGCCCTGACACCTCGCGGACCCCCCGAAAAACCTCAGGAAGGGGAGGGGGAGGGTACCCCTCCCCGACGGGAAGAGCGTCTTGAAGCAGGAAGGAAGACATTGCTGGCCCACCTTGGCCCACCTTAGCCCACAGGGCCGGCTGGATTGCCTGGTAGGGCAGGCCCAGAGGACTGCCGGCCGGGACGGTCGGTCGCTGCTCAACTCCTCCCCCATTTCCGCCCTGCGGGTGGTTTCGGAGTTTTTTTCGGGGGAGCGTAAGACCCGGGTTTGCCAGGACTCGGGTTCGCCATCGTTTTTTGACGACCGCGCCTCGGATTTTGACGAGGAGGAGTTTCGTGGGATGTCTGCAGCGGGAGGCCTCGTCAAAATGCAGGCTCGGCCTCGTCATTTTTTGACGACCTCGTCGGGGATTTCCGAGTCCCCTGTACCCAGGTCTTACGTCCCCCTGATTTTTGTTGGTTTTTCTTTTGGGGGGGGGGGGGGGGCTGGAGTGTTCTCTTGTCCGTGGGGCGCGCTCCGCCCGCCGTGCTTCGTCGAGGGCCCTGCCGGGCGCGGGTCTCGTGGTCGTGCCGGGGGACCGCCTGAGGCCCGGGCTGCGCTCCGAAGGACCGAGGAGGAGGAGGAGGAGGAGGAGGAGGGGGAGGAGGAGGAGGAGGGGGAGGAGGAGGGGGAGGAGGACGGGGAGGGGCAGGAGGAGGAGGAGGAGGAGGAGGAGGAGGGGGAGGAGAGGAGAGGGGGAGGGGCAGGAGGAGGGGGAGGAGGGGTCCGATGCTGTTGTCTCCTCCTTCGGCCTTCTGGGGGGCCCTCGTCGCCACCGTCGGGCCCGCCCCGAGGTCCTGGTCAGGCCGCGCCCCGGGAGAGGTCGGTGAGTCGGGAGGGCGAAGACCAGCAGTCTCGTCGTCAGGCGCCTCCTCCTCCTCCTCCTGCACTTCCCCCGTCCTCGTGGCCGTCGAGCCCCCCTCTCGTGGCCGCGGCTGGACGCGGCGCAGACCACGGATGCCCGGGAGGGGTCTGGAACTTGTGCGTTGAGGTGAGGACTCGCCTCCTGATCCTTCCCCTCCTCCTCCTCCTCCTCCTCCTCCTCCTCCTCCTCCTCCTCCTCCTCCTCCTCCTCCTCCTCCTCCCTCTCCTCCGCCGCCGTGCAGTGCCTGCCGGTGTGCACAGCACCTGCCTCCGATCCGGCCCTGAGTCGGGCCTGTCCCCCTACAGGAGGAATATTCAAAGATAGTCAAAGAATAGTCTGGGGCCGATTGTTTGACTATGTTCGACTATTGTTGCATATTTTTCGTGTATGTGTTATTTTTCGTCCAAAATCCCCCTGTAGAGGGACACGCCCGACCTAATACTGGCCCTCAGGTACCACCCGAAGACGGGGGTGAACATTCCCGGTCTCTCCGACCTCGTCGCCTCAGACCGCGGGGCCGCGATGGGGGCGCTGGAGCAGGGGATGAAGACCAGGTCGCAACGAAACAACAGCTGATCGGCAGCTTTCCCACCACCACTACCATGGGTAGGAGGAGGAGGAGGACGAGGAGGAGGAGGAGGAGGAGGAGGACCTCCCAACCCTCCCTTCTACCCCATCCTTACCTATGGTAGTGGTAGTGGAAAATGGGCCCATCAGCAGCGTCCTGGAGGGAGGTGGTCCTGGAGGCCTTTCGCACGTCCGGTCTCTCGGGGCACTGCCCGGGCCCCCGGACCGTCAGCGAAAGGTTCGGGCTTGGGCGTTGCGTAATGGGGGGGTCATAAATGGGGGGGTGGCGAGGGTGGTCCGAAAAGGTACCCAAACGGTACCTAAACGAGCCCCCTGGGGCGCTGGAGGGGCCCGAAAGGGACACGAAAGGGGACCGTTTCTGACCCCCCCATTTATGACCCCCCCGTTAAGCCACGCCCAATTCGGGCCAGAAGACTGGGTCCCGGGGGCAGCCCTGGGGCCAGGCTGCGTTTCCACCGTGACCCTTTCTTTTCGTGCCGAGCCAGGGCGGTCTCCAGCACTGCGATGAACGCGGAGTCCAGCCGCTCCCACTGCATCTTCTCGATGGACGTGGACCAGCTGATCATCAAGGAGGACGGCTCGAAGAAGAACCTCAGGTCCAAGGTGAACTTCGTGGACCTCGCGGGCTCCGAGAGGCTCGAGGGACACAACGCCGCCCAACCATACACCCTAGGCGATGCTTAAGAAAACTTCAGTTTTCGGCCAGAGTCTCGATGATTCTTAATGTTTCAGTGTAAATCTCAAGATTTTGATAGAAATTCTGGGTCTTTCTTCAAATTCTGAGACTATGAGTTTCTTGACCCATGATTTCTTAAGCATTTCGCAGGGTGTACGCTTCTGGAGGTCCGTGCTGCTCTCCCAGGTCGGCGCTGGGACCCCCCCCCCCCGGGCGGCGGGGAGGGACGGCGGGGAGGTCCACCGCCGACCCGGGAAGGCCGCGCGGGCCTGCGTGGATTCTGTGGCCCTGTGGAGCTGTCTCGTCTTGGCATCGGGGGCGGAAAAGAGGGGGGTGGTGACTAGTCAGAGCCCCGAATCATCAGGGGTAACTCGGGTCAGGGCTAACTCGGGTTCGTTTTTCGGGAGTCCGAACCCGCGTTACCCCGGACCCGAGTTACCCCGGATAACTCGGGCGACCAAAGGGGGGGGGGATATCATGGCGGGGGCCATGATATTTCCCCAGATTTTGTGGCGCCTCTTCTCATGTCATTACGTCCCTGGCCCCCCCCCGCCGGGCCGCGCACGTGCCGCTGGTCATGATTTGCACCCCCCCCCCCTGGGACACCCCCCTCTTGGCCGCCTCCGATGGCATCGCTCGGAGGTGTACATTTTTTGCTCGGCGATGCCAGCGTCAGAAAATCTTCACCATCTTGGAGCACTTTGGATTAAGTCGGGCACGTCCCTCTTCAGGAGGGATCTTCGAAAACGGTAAAGAACTGCTCTGGGGACGATTTTTTGATTATTTCTTACGATTTAGGGGCATTGTTTGATTAATGTTTTATTGTTCTTCCAAAACCCTCCTTGTAGGGGGACATGCCAGACCTCATGCCAGCGTCAGAGAATCTTGACCATCTTGGAGCAGCTTGGAGTATCCGGAGAAACAGCGCGCACGCAGCCAGACAGAGCACGGGGAAGGGACGTCCCAGCGATGGCAATTCGTGGAGGTGGAGGAGGAGGACGATGAAGAGGACGACGAGGACGAGGAGGAGGAGGAGGAGGAGGAGGAGTTTCTCCAGAGGCAGAAGAAGACGGGAGCGCAGGGCGACCGACTGAAGGAGGGCGTGGCCATCAACCAGAGCCTGTCGAACCTGGCCGTCGTCATCAGCAAGCTGGCCGAGCTGCAGGGGAAGGAGGCCAAGAAGGGCGACTTCATACCCTTCCGCAACTCGAAGCTCACGTTCGCCCTCATGGATTCCCTGAGCGGTAGCTTGAAGACGAAAGGCTACATGCTCATAAACTGTTCAAAAACTGCGCGGATTTCTTGGATCGGCGTTGGACCCCCCTTGCAGCGCCTCCGGCGCAGCCCCTGGCGCGCTGCGTGTGCCAGGGATCCCGGGTCCAGCGCCGATCCAAAAAGTCATGGATGAATTCCCATGGTTTATGATTATGCAGCTTATCTTTCTGCTCCTGCTGATCCTCCTCCTCCCCTCTTCCCTCATACTTTGTGTACGGGATCGGCTACACAATGCATTTACCACAAAATTGCTCTCTTCGATGGATCCATGAAGCACATTACTTGTATTTGTAGATTCGACGAGAAAATCAACTTGGGGGGGAATCAATCCTGTAGTCGATCCCCCACTCGAAGACTCCTTCCCCATTCTCCTTCGGCGCCGCTCTGCCTGCACCATCCCGCCCCGGGGCGGGTGCAGTGGAGCCCCCTAAGGAAAAGCCACGAGGGCAGTGCTCCTGGTCGGCGGCGCGCCCGGGGGGGAAGCGAGAAGGAGAAGGCCCTCTCGGAAGGCGGCGGTGCTTCTCCGAAGCACTCCAGCCTTCTGGGAGGTCTCCTGCGTTTTCGGGGAAGGTCTGGAAAACCTCTCAGAAGGCCGGGGGACTTCCAAGCCTTCTGAGAAGGCCCGCCCTTTCTCACTCCCCCCCCACTGGGCTTGCCTCCGATGTGCGCATCCCCAGGTAATGGTAGCCCTGGAATTGCAAGGGGACGATCCCGCTTCCCTCTCTCAGCGTGGGGGGGCGACATCGCTGCTGGGGCCGATCTATATATATATATATATATATATATGTGTATATATATATTGTTTTCGGTGGTGAGACTCTTAGCCGGCGTTTCAGTTTTTGTTGTCTGCTATCAGTCGCGTGATGTGAAGAGAGACGCGGGTTTGGCGAATTTGGGCCGCTTAAATATTCGTCACTACTGGCCCCGAGTATTTTTTGTTAATCATTTTTGGACTCACCTTCCCTCCCCCTCGGTAACTCCAAGACCGTCATGATGGCCGCACTGTCCCCTTCGGCGGACAACTACGACGAGACACTGCAGTGCATCTCCTTCGCACAGAAGGTGAGGTCGATCAAGACGAAGTCCTAGAGCCACAGCGCGGGGCGGGTGCGAAGTTAGTCGCTCTGGGCGATTTCAGAGCGAGGCGCGAGTACCTCATCCTGTTCCGGGGGGAGGGGCGGCACGTACGCGCGAAGATAGTCACGCTTCGCGAAGCGCGAAGTGCGAAGCGCGAAGACAGTTGCCCTAGGAAGTGGAGAGTTCTTGACGCCAGCCAGGGACGACACTGGTGAAGGGAACCAGGAACCGAGAAGGGGGAGCCCGGATTGGGGAACCGCGGAAACCGCGTAGTGGAAACTTGGAAATCAGGAAACCGGAAACCGGGAACTGGAGCCTGGAGCCAGAAAGCGGGAACCAGGCAGGAGCCGGGAACCGTGAAGCAGGAGGGCAGGATGTGCCGCATGTGTTCGGGAAGTGGGGAATGGGGAGGAAGGGAGAATGAAGGATATATATATATATATATATATCGACCGCGAAGGAGATACATAAACAGTTTTCATAGGTTGGCAGGAGAGAGAGAGTGTGATACCATAGTCTGTACTCCGAGGGATCAACACATACAGGCCATATGGATATACGTATGCGCGCACGTACTAGGCACTTAACGCATACATATGTGTGTGCGTATATATGTATGTATGCTGTGTTGTATAGAGAGGGAGCGAGGTAGAGAACGAGAGAGAGGGATGAGTAGAGATACTTGTAGGGTTATTTGCACATGTGCATGTATATGTTTACCGTGTTAGGCTCAGCGAATTATGTCAGCATTCTGATTCATTCGCAGAGCCATATACGTACTCAGCGAATGGTTCAGACAGTTACATGCAGGCATTCAAGCAGTTGTGCATATACGTATGAATACACGAATATATGTAACATCGTATAGCTAGATACAGAGAAAGCAATCGAGTGAGGAACCAATCAAATGTACGAGCTCATGCTGGAATGTGTACTTATATGTGTGTATACCGAGAAGCGTTAGAGACCGACACCCACACACACACTAACATGGTTTTTTACATAGCATGCGCGAGCACTATATGTGTATATATGATGTATGCCTGCTCCGAGAAGTGTACACATATAAGGATACCAGACACGTGAGCTTTATATCTGCATATAAGTATAGAACGCAGAGGGAGAGGGAGGGAATGCACGAGAGGGAGAGAGAGAGAGATGTTGAGCGCGAGAGGGGGCCGAGCGCTGCCCCCGCATATACATGCATACGACATACGTACACTGAATACGCATGTAACTTGACATATGTATACATGTGTCGAAGACGCCTACGGCGAGTCACCGCCGTGCCCTGCCCTTGTGGAAGCGCCTGTGTTGCCAACAGCTGGGCTAGAGCTTGGCCAAGCTATCGGGCCAGTTGTTCCCCGAGTCGGTTTGTAGAGCCGTCCGGGGACGCGCGGGGGAGCGAGAGGTTTGAGAGCGCCAATGTGTCCGAGCGTTGTGGCAAGAGCTCTGCCAAGCTATCGGACCATGTGTTCCCCAAATCGTTGTGGAAACCCTTCGGGGAACACTTGGGGGAGGATGGCGGGGAAGTTCAGGAGGAGGAAGGAGGAGGAGAAGGAGGAGGAGGAGGAGGAGGAGGTGGAGGAGGAGGAGGAGATGGAGGAGGAGGAGGAGGAGGAGGAGGAGGACGGGGCATTTCGGGAGCCTCTGGGGGCACTCTTAGGGTCTCCTGGGAGATTCCTGGAGGCCCTCTTGGAGGCCCCTTGGGGGTCTCCTTGGGCCTCTTGGAAGCTTTGGGGGGCTTCTCGGCGGCCGTCTCAAGGCATTCCTGGCCCGAGCGACGCCGTCGGAAACCGCCTTGGAGGCCTCTGGGCCGATTGGAAACCCTCTTGGGGTGCTCCAGGGGAGTCTTGGAGACCATCTTGGGCGTCTTGGAGGCCTCTTGGGCCGTCTGGGGGCGGTCTTGGGGCCGGCTTGGGGGCCTCCTGGGCAGTTCTGGAGCCGTCCTGTGGGGCTCTTCGATCGTCTCGGGCCGTCGGAAGGCCGAAAAGAAGCAAATGCCACAATATTTTTTGCCGGAGGAAATCTTAGATTTGGCCTCTTCGGGCCTTCCCTGGAGGCCCTCTTGGAGGCCTTTTGGGCTGGTGGGATCCTGGCCCGTCTGACGCCGTCGGAAGCTGTCTTGGGGACCTCTCTGGGCCAGCTGGGGGTCCTCTTGGGGTGCTCGAGGGCCGTCTTGGATGCCATCTTGGGCTTCTTGGAGGCATCTTGGGCCGTCTTGTCGCCCTCCTGGCGCGGTCTTGGGTGCATCTTGGGCCGTTCTGGGGCCATTTTTGGGGCCTCTTGGGCGATCTTGGGGCTCCTGGGCCGTCTCGGGCCGTCGGAAGGCCGAAACAAAGCAAATGCCGAAATCCTTCAAACACCTTACGAACATCTACGATTTGGGCCCCTTCGGGCTCTCCTGGGGGGCCTCTCGGGGCTCTCTTGGGACGCTTTGGCGGCCTCTTGGGCAATTTTGGGGCAATGTTGGGCCTTCTTGAGCCTTCTGGGAGGCTTCTTAGACAAAATGGAGGCATCTTGGACGAACTTGAGCAGTCTTGGAGGCCATCTTGGACCATATCGACCGAACTTGGAGGCCGTCTTGGCCGTCTTGGAGGCTATCTGGGGCCGTCTTGGAGGATTTTTTCCGGACGTTGTGCTCGTCTGCGCTCGATTGTGCGCTCTCTCTTCCGTGTGGCCAGCGGGCTGGGCCGGAGCCCCAGGGGAGAAATCTTTTGGACAAACCGCAACCAAAACCGAAAGGGTCCAGCACGCGGGGCACCCCTGTGACAAGCACAGGGGGCGGCGGATCGAAGACGCCTACGGCGAGTTACCGCCGCCCCCTGCCCTTTCAGAAGCGCCTATGTGGCCGAACGTTCAGGCCAAAGCCTTGCCAAGCTATCGGACCATGTGTTCCCCGAATCGGTTTGGAAAGCCTCCGGGGAACTCGTGGGGGAGGATGGGGAAGAGGAGGAGAGTGAGGAATGGGTTTGTTCGGGGTCCCTTGGGGGCTCTTGTGAGCTTTTGAAGGCGTCTTGGGGCCTGCTGGCCGAAGGTTGGGTCAGATCCTTGCGAATCTTTCGGAACGAGTGTTCCCCGAATCGGTTTGGAAAGCTTCCGGGGAACACGTGGAGGAGGTTGGGGAATTTTGAAGGTCATATTGGCCGTCTGGAGGCCATTTTGACCCTTTCGGGCCTTCCTGGAGGACGTCTTGGATGGCTTTTGGGCCGTCTTGGAGGTCGTTTGAAGACCTTTTGGGCAGCCTAAGGCCATCTTGAGGCCATCTGGGGCCGTCTTGGGTGCATCTTGGGGCCATCTTCGCTGTCTTGGAGGCCTTCTTGGCCGTCTTGGAGGCATCTTGGAGGCCATCTTGGCCGTCTTGGAGGCCATCTTTGGGCGTCTTCGGGGCCATCTTGGACCGTCTTGGGCTCTTCTTGGGGCCCTCTTGGGGGCCTCTTGGGCTGTCATGGGGTCATCTTGGAGGCCTCTTGGGCGCTCTTGGGGCGATGTTGGGGGCCTCTTCGGCCTGCAAACACCTAAGGACAATCTGTGATTCTGGCCCCTTCGGGCCTTCCTGGAGGACGTCTTGGAAGCCTCTTGGGGACCTCTTGGGCAGTCTTAGGCAATCGTAGAGCTATCTTGGGCCGTCTTGGATGCTTCTTGGACGAACTTGAAGGCATCGTGAGCTCTCTCGGGCCGTCTTGGAGGCCATATTGGGCGGACTTGGAGGCCATCTTCGAGGCCATCTTTGGCCAACGTGTTCATCTTGGAGTCCATCTTGAGCCGTCTCGGAGAATTTGCTGGTCGTTGGAGTCCCTTTCGGGTGGCCAGCGGGACGGGCCGAAGCCCCAGGGGGAGCTCTTGTGGGAAAAGAACCAACACCAAAAGCGAGAGGGTTCAGCACGCCAGGCACCCCTGTGATGAATCAACAGGGGGCGGCGGATATAGTGGCCTCCGGCCCGGCCCGTCCCGCCACCGTGCCTGGGTTGTGTAGAGGCCTCTTGGATATTCGTGTGGATATCGTGGGAGGCCTCTCAGGGGCCTTTCGGAGGCAGTTCTGAGGCCTCTTGGGGACCGTTTGGGGGCCTCTTCATGTGCCTCGTGGGGCCTCCGGGGGGTCTCTTGGGCTTTCTTCTATTGCGGCGGCCCAGAGCGGCAGCTGCCATTCGTGAGAGCTCTCATGAAGCATTGTTGTGTTGAACAAGTGGTCCTCTGTGTAGTAGTTATTGCGGAAACCTGTTTGGTCTGGGCATCGAACAAGACAGCGTTTGATTGCGTTGACCACGACTGTATGTGGGACGCTCTACGACAGCAACATATACCTCCCGCCTACATCACCTTCCTGCAACACTTCTATAGCACCCAAACTGGTACAGTTCGGACGGAGACCAACAGCAGAGCCTTCAATATCGAACGGGGCGTTGAACAGGGAGACCCGCTGAGCTCTTTCCTTCTCAACGCCGTCTTAGAGCACGTGCTCAGAGAAGTGAAACCTGTTTGGTTGCGAAAGAAAGTCGGGATCCACCTTGGCTTTTCAGCACAAGTGTGGATTACAAATCTGGGTTTCGCCGACGACGTGTTTTTGTACGCAACCAACCTAAGACAGCTCACCTGCTTACTCCGTGACGTACAAAACCACGCAGCTAAATGTGGTCTGTTACTACATCCAAAAAAGACGAAGGTCCTGACGAACATTAGCCAGAGAGAGGGGAGAACAATCACCCATGTCGACATCAACGGCGACAGCATCAGCATCCTGCATTCCAGCCACGGAGCAAAGTACTTGGGAAGAAAGCTCACTTTTCACTAATTTCATGACACAGAACTGCACAACAGGATTGCCGCAGGGTGGGCCCGTTTCAATCCGCTTCGTTACGAATTGGCCAACAAGCGCTTCCCGCTCCATCGTAGATTGAGGTGGTTCAATGGCACTGTCACGCCATCCGTGTTGTACGGCTGCTCATCCTGGACTCTGACGAAGGAGATGCTTCTTATTGTCAGGCGCGTCCAACGGAAAATGCTCAGGCTTGTCACGGGAGTACCGCGGAGACGCAACGAACAACACCAGCACGCCCCCGACACTTCCATCGACGACCGCCACCACCACATGACCGACGCCGACACAGCAAACAACCCGAACTACACAGCCAACAACAACGACGAGAGGAATGATGACGGAAAGGAACCATGGGCCGACTACATTCGACGAACCACGCGCGAAGCCACGGACCATGCTTCCCGATCCCAAGTGGAAGAATGGGTTGTGCTATATTTCAAACGGAAATGGAACTGGGCATCCCGTGTGGCGGCACACACATTTGCGACAGGTGGACTTTCTTAGGTGCCTCATGGGAACCACGCTCACACGACCCTCGCCCAGCGCACCGGCCGCACGGAGGTCAACGAAAGCGATGGGCAGACGACATCATGCAATTCGCACGCGCCAAGGGCATGTGTGAAGACCGCGACGACCAGGAACACAACAACCAATGGTTACCAACTGCAGCAGATCAACAGTTATCTAGAATCTGATTTTATACAATACGCCTACGCACACTACAATTTATAGGATCTGGTATGCTTCCCCGACTCCAGCGTTACGCGTTTTGCCAACTCTGGTCGTTTCTCCGACTCCTGTTCACACCTTTCCGACTCCGGTTCCCGTCCATCTCGCCGACTCCGGTCCGGCTCCGACTTTAAAAGTCGGAGCCCTCTGGAGAGGTATTGGGGGCAAAAGTCTTTTGCCCCCAATACCAGAGGGCTCCGGCCTCCCGCGCCGCCCTATGAGGTCCGGTCCCGCCGGACCGGACTCGCGCGCTCGCCTCGCCTCGCTTTGGGCTCTCTTGGGGGCCTCTTGGGGCCTTCCTGGGGGCCTCTTGGGGCAAAAGGCTCAAATTGTCGGTTCGTGTTCCCCCTCTTGGGCCCCTCCTGGGGTCGTCTTGGGGCCCTCTTGGGCGATCGTGGGCGCCTTTTGCGCCGTTTTCGGACCCTCTTCGGTCTGGCCTCTGGGGCCATCGTGGAGCGTCGGACGCCCGAAAACGCGAGAACGCGAAACACATCGAATAGCATAAAGAACGTCAAGTATGTTTGCCCCTTTGGGCCCTGTTGGGCGTCCTCTTGGAGCGCTCTTGGGCTGTCGAGGCCTCTTGGGCCCTCTTGGGCGTTTTCTGGGGCCCTCTTGGCCCGTCTTGGGGCCCTTTCAGAAAAGTCATGCGAAGTGGCCCAAGAAATAGCGTGACCTCCTAGGAATTGTGAGAATTGGCCCCAGCCCTTAGAATACTATTATTCCAGAGTCCTGGGCACAGAGGACAAGGACAGATGAGAGCCTGGAGAAAGCTCCACCTCGCGCCTCGCTGGGAAATCAGAATTGGGAACCGGAAGGCGGGAACCGAGAACCAGGAACCGGGAGCCTGGAATCGGGAGCTTGGAGCCGGGAATTGGGAACCCGGAGCAAGGAATTAGGAACCAGGGTCGGGCGGGAGCCGGGAGCCTGGAACCGGGAGCCGGGAGAACCGGGAACCGGGAACACAGTTTATTACGATACCCAGGGGAGCTGCCTTTATCGGGGCAGCGTGGCCGCATCGTCGGGATACCTCGCGGGGAGCCTCAGCGGGTCAGCGGCCCCTTGGGTGCCTCCTTGGGTCTCTTGGGGGATCTCTTGGGGGCCTTCTGGAGGCCTCTTGGGGCGTCTTGGAGGCCGCTCGCCGGTTTTGGGGGAGGGGCCGCGAGGGGGGGACCTTGTCGAGGCCTCGTCGGCGCCTCTCTGGTAGGCCCGGGCCGTCGTGGGGCCAAGTTGGAAGCCTTGGAAGCCATCCGTCGGAGGAGGGGGCGTGGCGTGGTTCCGCCTCGCCCCCTGCGGGAGGCCCGTGTTGGCCCCGAACATGAAGAGCATCCGCGGCTCGTGCTTTTCTCGCCTCGAGGGCATGGTTGACGTTTTGACCGCCCGCCTTTTTTTTTGTTTCTCTCTCTCTCTCTCTATCTCGCTCTCTCGCTCTCTCCAGACCCACGGGGAGTTGGTAGGGGGAGGGATGAGCCCCTCCCCGAAGGGGAAAAGGGGAGAGAATGGACGAGAAAACGTGCTAAACCACCTCAGCCCAGAGGGCTAACGGGAGTCCTCTCTTTTTATCTTTCCCTCCTCTTCATCATTATGGTAGGTTCATGCGGCGATAGCGCGCCGGCGACGCCAGCGAAGGCGTTCACGGTCGAATTCTGCGACGCGGAAGCACCGAGGGACAGGGTGTCGTTATTGGACCCGACGGAATTTAGCTCTGACCGATCGTGGCCGCGATCGATGCAAGGTCGAGCGAACGATGCGGTGTCAAATTTTTCCGCGCGCCGACGCTGCGCGAACCTACTGTACATCTTCATTCCCCATCTTCTTCTGCCCCCTCAGAACTCTTGCTCCTCCGCCCTCTTTATCAGAGCTCCTGCCCCTCCAGCCTCTTCATCCTTCTCTCCTGCTAGTCTTAAGTCGGGCGTGTCCCTCTACAGGCGGAACATTTGAACATAGTAAAAATATTCAGGGGACGATGCTTCATTAGTTGTTTTACTATGTTTGCATATTTTGGGGAGTATTTTCGATTTGTCCTGCAAGGTCCGCCTGTAGGGGGACATACCCGACCTGATGCTAGTCACCCTCGTACCTCCGCCTCTTCCCTCTCCTCGTCCATCGCGTCCCTCCGCCACCTCCTCGTCCTCCCTCGCACGTGCGCTCACCGCTTGGACTCCGAGGCAGGAATTTATACATGACCACCATCTAGAGGGTCAATTTTCGGGGAACTCGGCAGGCGGTGGATAGATATGAATATATTCGGGCTCCCGGTGCCAAACTATATCCATATCCACCGCCCGCTGGGGCACCAGGACGTCGGTTCCCAGGCGGTGGATATGGATAAATCCCCGCCTCGCACAGACGTCTGGCCGCGGAAGGTGAAGTCGATCAAAACGAAGTCGAAGAAGAACGAGACCCTCGAGGACGAGGTGGTCAGGGACCTCAGGACCGTGCGTCGGCAGACGTCTTCCCCCTCTTCCGTTCCTCCATGTCGAATGTAATGATCGGCATGAGCATCATTAGTTGAAGAGCCGATCGGCTTCCTCGGATCGGCGTGTTTGCGGAGATCTCTGTGCCCTGCCTCCCTAATGAAAGTTGTGCGTAGCCCGCCCAGCCTTTAGCGGCAGAGGTTCGCTCTCGCTCCGCCGACCAAAAAAGTGTTTGCGGAGATCTGGGCGGACTTCTCGGGTCGGTAACCGGACCCCTGACCTGCCCTGGCGCGCAGAGCGCGCCAGGGGCGGCGCTGGAGGTTCCGCCGGGCGGGGGCCAGCGCCGACCACCCGGTCGGCACGCACCGCCCAGAGTTTATACCGATGCGCTCTTGTGTTCGCGCGCCCTCTTGTTACGGTCGTGGCTTTTTTCCGGCCCATCCTGCCTCTCCAGAAGGGGGACGGGGAGCACCCGTGCAGGCGGGAAGTCCGGCTCGGGCGAGCCGGCCCGAGTGCGCTTCGCGGTGCATCGGCAGTCGAAGCCGAAGCCACCGCTGAGGTGCCAGAGCTGCACGGCCCCTCCGGAGCCGAGGCGCGCAGGGGCGCCGCGGCCCTCCGCTGGCGCGCGCCAGGCCGCGGTCGGCCCCGGGCTGTGCTCGGAGGGGGGTTTCATGCGGAGACCACGGCGGCTCTCCCGCCCGGCCCTAGCCCTCTCAGAGTCCGTCCCCCGAGTGCGAGCGGTACTTCTGTCCACATCCACTGCAGTATGGAGTTCCAGGCTCCCTTCCCCAGAAACCCGAGGCGCACTGGGTGTGGATAAGTTTGCCGCCTGGAGGCTCGATTTTTACCCATGTCCAGTGCACCTCGGCCTTGTGGCGCCCCTTCCCCAAAAATCGAAGGCGCACTGGATATGGATATGAATCTTGCCCGCACCGAGCCCTCCCGGGGGCCACCCCCGATCCTTTTTGTTTTGGAGGCGGATCCAGCCATGGCGACAAGATCGGAGGTTGATTGACCTCCTATACCCTGACACGTCGATCAGCGGATTGGCCGTTTCCGGTCCGCGAGAGGGCGTCGCGGCCGTCGTCTTTGCGGGTCCAGCTTCGTCGGTTTCGGCCCTTGGCCGTTTTTACGAAAGGGAGGTTTACTACAGGGAGGTTTGTCCACCGCCGACAAGAGGTTCCCGGGAGGCTCAAACAGGAACGCCGCCGATGTTTCGACTGGCCAGTCTCCGAGAATCTAAGACAAGCGAGCGCCGCGAGCTTTCGCCGAGGCGGACCAGCCACGAGCGGCCCACTGGTTGTGATCGGAGACAGGGGTAATGCCCTGGAAGCCACGTGCAGGAGGCAGCTGGAGGAGCTCCGGGAGGCCGCGAAGAGCTCCACCATCACCGACGAGCCCGACGACGTGCGCGCGGAGAGGGAGGATCGGGAGGGCCGACGAAATGGGGCCGTCCTCGCTTTCCTCCTCCTCCTCCTCCTCCTCCTCCTCCTCCTCCTCCTCCTCCTCCCCCTCCTCCTCCTCCTCCTCCTCTCGGAGGAGAACCAGTCGAGACAACGGCGGCCCTCCCTGGCGTTCTTGTCCGCCCTTTCCCAGACCTCCCGGAGGCTTTGTCGTTGCCACGGTTGGATCTGCCTCGAACGCTGTGTCTCAGAGCGTGAATTACCTACCCCGCTTTCGCTTCCAGGCAAAACCAAGCCATACCACGCGCCTCCTCGTCAAGCGGCCTGACCAGTACAGGCTGCAATTTGGCATCGTTTGGTATCTCTTGGAAGCGAGGGTGGTCAAAAGCGAGGCAGGTTTGTTTTCCCCTTAGTGTCGGGATGCACCACCGGAGGGGTTTCTTCTGTTGCATCTTCGGGGGGCCTCGCCTGTCCCAAACATTGTTGTCTTCGGGGGGGCCCGACGCGTGTGCTCGATGCGGACTCGGCGCGGATCTGGCGTGGATTCGACGCGGATTCGTCACGGATTCGACACGGTCCCCCGAGGATGCAACACAAGGTCCCCCGCGGATGCAACATAAGGTCTGGGGACCGACTTGGTGCGGATTTGCACCAGGCTGGAGCCGCCGTTGTCTCAATTGACCCTTCTCCGAGAAGTCGGGTCCTACTCGCAGATCCCTCCTCCTCCTCCTCCTCCTCCTCCTCCTCCCTTCTCCTCTCCTCCTGCCCCTCCTCTATCTAGTTTGTTAGAGAACAGATACTTGAACCTATGATTGCTAGCGTAGACCCAGCTCGCAGTGCATGTAGTGCAAGCAAGATGGTGAAGTACACGTGGTGCAAGCCATGCGGTGCAAACTGTGTGGTGACAGCCATGTTGTGCAGGCTACGTGGTGCAAGCTCCGCAGTGCAAGACACGGTGCGAGCTACGAGGCGTAAGGTACCTAGCGTCGGTTGTGCGGTGCAAATCAGTGTGGTGCAAGCTATGTGGTGCATGGTATATGCGGTGCAAGCTGTGTGGTGCAAGCCATGGCACAAATTTAGGCACTGCACTATGTATGCGGCAGCCCCGCGCACGAGAGGCGCCCACGGGCACCAGGCGAATCCTCGGGACACACACACACACACACCTACTTTTTTACGTCGGCGGCCAGGCAGAGACACTGCGCTGGCGATGGAGCGATCGTGGGATGCACAGAACGCGAATTGGGCCGCCATGCACGGGGGAGAGCGGAGGACGCCCGGCGCGGGCAGGAGGGATGAGGACGCCGGGCCCGCTCAGAGCGGGGCCAGGCGGCGGCGCGGGGGGGGGGGGGGGGCGCCAGGAGCGGGGACCAGCGGCAGCGAGGCGGCGGCTGGGGGGCAGGCAGGGCAGGGCGGCCGCAGGAGGCAGGCGCCCAAGGGGGGGGGGGGCAGGCCCAGCACGGGCTGGAGGCGAGAGCGGTGACAGCGAGGCAGCCAGGGGAGCCGAGGCCACGAGTGAGCTGCGCACGCGCACGCACAGACGCAGACTCACAACAGGCGCACGAGGCGCCCAGGAGAGTCGCCCGCGGCGGGCGGGCACCCGGCGAGCAGCCTCCGCAGACCCACGCCGGGCGCACGAGGCGCCCACGCGGCGGGCGCCCGGCGAGGCCGCGGCACGAGGCGCCCGCCGCACGAGGCGCCAATGGGCGGGCACCGGGGGAGGCCGGGGCACACCGGCCCGGCGCTCGAGGCGCCCACGGGGCGCCCACGGGCGGGCACCCGCAGGCCAGCCACAACTGGGGGAGCTGTGGTCCTTCCCCCCCGGGGGGGCCCATCGATGTCGACGCCCCTCGAGGGAGAGGTCGTCGAGGCGACGGGTTCCCCCAGGGGAGGGAGGACCACAGCTCCCCCAGTTATGGCTGGTCGGGCCAGGGGAGACCTCTCGGCCACGCGCAGAGGGGTTGTGGGGGGAGGGGGGGGCTCCTCAGGAGCACCCCTGCTTCTCAGAGGGCGCGGGCCTCAACTAGAAAGGATGTAAGGCCGGCGCCTCCTGAGAAGCAGCCTCCTCAGAAACCTTCCCCCCTCCCTCCACCCCCTGGTGCGCACCGCCAAGAGGCGCCCACGGGGCGCCCACGGGCGGGTGCCGGGGGAAACCTCGGCACACCGACGCAGCGCGAGGCGCCCACGAGGCGCCCACCAACTGGACACCAGCCGAAGGCCTGGCACACCCAACCAGCGGTCTGGAGTAGGCGAAGCAAGAGCTTGGCATCGCTCGGACGTGTGCATTTTTCCTTCGGCGAGGACCATCGAGGAGCATCCTTGATCATTTGGCGAAAAAGCCACGCACGAAACCGAAAAAAAACACAGGGAATGGACGTCCGAGCGATGGCCAGAGAGCCCCTTCAGTGCAAGCACCGTTTGAGGGACTTGTTCGCAGGTCCGCCCTGTTTTATGTGGGGTCGGCGATGTTTCTCCCTGGCAGCGCCTCCGGCTCCGCCCCTGGCGCGCTCCGCGCGCCAGGGAGAGGGGGATACGGCGCCGATCCAAGGAATCCTCGCGAAGTTCCGAGCGATTATGTTCATGCAGATTTAGATCGCTCTGTCGATTCCTTCCCGTCCTTGGGCGCCCTGCTCCCTCCTCCTCCTCCTCCTCCTCCTCCTCCTCCTCCTCCTCCTCCTCTTCCCCTCCGTTTTCCCCCTGCGATTCATGGTGAGGGGAGGCGCGGTCTCTGCTGCAACTCGGATGTTACTCTTCAATCTTACTTTCATAGACAGTGGACAGCCTCCTTCGTTCGTTCCGTCCCCCCTTCCCCCTCTGTCCTCTTGTGCCAGTGCGCCTGGGAGCGCGCCGAAAGCTGGCATGAAGGCAGGGGCTCCTGAGGGACGCGGGTGCTGAGGTTTGTCGTCGTTGCTGGCCTCTTGTGGCCCTCCACGGGCCCTGGAACGGATCGGCTCTGTGTTAGGCTCTTCCGGAGTGCTGGGTTTCGTCCGAATTGGGATTCCAGGCTTAGCGGGGGAAGTCCTGGTTTCGTTTGGGCGGAGAGACCATTCTGGGGTTCGCCAACATGGATCAAGGGGGCGTGGATGAGCGCCGCGTCTCGCATTGCGGATTTCCACCGCCGGACGACTCGGCACTGGCCGCAGTTTGGAGAGGGCAACTCCCCCGATCCATGCCTGCGCGCCCCCGGGCAGTTCGGCGGGCCGGACGAAAGGGGGGGATTGGGAAAGGGGGGGGTACGAAATCTGCTGCATGCCGCTGGTTTCGGCCCCACGGAGGGGCCCATTCATTCCTCGATGCATCGTCGCCTCCGGCGCCGGGAGGCGCCGGGAAAATCAGCCACGAGCGCTGATTCTCAACCCCCCCCTTTGATATCCCCCCCTTTCGACGGGTGCATCGAGGAGGAGGAGGAGGAGGAGGAGGAGGAGGAGGAGGAGGAGGAGGAGGAGGAGGAGGAGGAGGAGGAGGAGGAGGAGGAGGAGGAGGAGGAGGAGGAGGAGGAGGAGCGAGGAGGAGGAGGAGGAGGCAACTCTGGGGCTCGCCCGTCGACCTCCTGGGGCCCTCCACGGGCCCCGGGGCCGTCCGAGCAGGGCTCGGGATGCAGGAGAGCGGGCCCCCTGGGAGAGACCCCCCCCCGGGGGCCTTTGGGCCTGTGTCTTGGCATCGCTCGGGCGTGTGCCCTTTTTTTCTCGGCGAGGACCTTCGAGGAGCATCCTCGACCATCCGGCGAAAAAAACACGCACGGAACCGAAGACAACACAGGGAATGGACGTCCGGGCGATGGCCAGGTGCCCCTCTCAGGACCCGCTGCCCTTGGCCAGAGACGGGCGGGAGCGGTGCAGCTCACACGCTGAAAGATAAGACCAGTTTGGGCTTGGAAGGGGCTGGCTTCGAAGAAGAACAAACGGCATACACAGAAACTTTTGGCGCTCCGCGCGGGTTTCTTGGATCCGCGCTGGGCTCCCACGGCGGCGCCTCCGGCGCCGCCTATGGCGCGCTCCGCGCGCCAGGGAGGGGGGTCCGGTGCGGATCCAAGAAATCCGCGCGGAGCGCCGAAAGATTATGTTTATGTCGTGTTTTCATGTTCAATCGTTGTTCCTTGGATCCTCCGATGGTTTCTCTAGCCCTCCTCGTGCACCCAGGCGTTGTCCGTGCCAAGAAGGGGCTTCGTTCCCTGTGAAGGCAGCCTGCCGAGCAGCACTTTCCCGGGCAGGCCCAGGATGGGGATGGTGGTACATCGCTACGGAGCGTTCTGGGAGGCTCTCAGGGCGTTCTGGAGCGTCCCGGGATGGCCGCGGCGCCGGATGCTCGGGAGGGAAGAAGAGAGTATCGATGTCACGCCGCCGTTGGAAGCCCGTCAGGGCGCCGCCGTTGGATGCCCGTCAGCGTATTGCCCAATCGCATCATGTCAGAAAGAATGGTTTCTTTCCTCCCCCTCCCCCTCCTCCTCCTCCTCCTCCTCCTCGTCCTGCTCCTCCTCCTCCTCTTCCCACCCCGTCCTCCTCCTCCTCCTCCTCCTCCTCCTCCTCCTCCTCCTCCTCCTCCTAGCCGCAACAAGCTGATGGATTCCCCACGGCGGCGTGGCGTGGATGTCGTTGTTGCTGCTCCCGATGCGTCCTCCGGACCCGTGGGCTTTCAGAGATTCCCGACGTGCAGCGGGAGCCCACGCAAGAGAACACCCTGCTTGCCGTAGGTCGGGCGTGTCCCTCCACAGGAGGGGTGTTGAAAATCGGTTGAGACAAGGACGGGGCTGACTTGTCTGAGCATTTTGGGAGTATTTGTGGAGTCTTTTTGTTAAAACATTTGTCGCCCGAAATCCACCTGTAGGAGGACCTCATCCGAATGCATCCTCATTCGCCCTTCGCCTTTGAGTCGCCGTCCATTTGGGACAACATTTGCCGCCTGGCGTTGTCCCCTTGTCGAATACGCCACGAGGAGCAGCTGCAGCTGGTGCAGGACCTCCTGAAGAAGGAAGCGAGGGGTGACCAACCTCACCCTCCCTCCTGGGCTTCGGGAGCATCGCTACGGCGTTTTTGTTCGCCACGGTCGGCGCTCGGGGACCGCCTGCAGACCTGCGGGCCGCCAGGAGATGGCTCGACGCGAGGGACCTGTCCTGGGGTGGAGTGCGGGAGGGCAAGGGCCCACGTCGCCAAGCGTTGGCAAGCTCCCCCGTCTTCGTCTTCCCTCCTCCCTCCCCTCGGCCACGCGCAGAGGGGGTAGGGGGGGAGGGGCGCAGGCTTCTCAGAAGGGGGCTGCTCCTTAGAAGGCGCGGGCCTCGTCCATAGATGTGGGGCCCGCGCCTTCTAATGATCATGAGCAGCCTCCTTCTAAGAGGCCTTCCCCCCTGCCCCATAACCTCCTTGTGCGCGCCGGCAGCTCCTCCTGGTTGGCCACCTGGCTCGAGCACATTCGAGTCCATCGACCTCCCCCTGGCACTTCGAGGCCGTGTTGCGGCCGAGCGAGCGACAGTCACCGAGCGCGTTCTCCCACCAACACAGTGCCCATTCGCAAACGTCCAACAAAAACAGGTGCTTGCCTCCCTCGCGGCGAAGCCAGGCAACCTGGCGAGTAGGTACTTTCTGCGAGTATTGGACCGCGCTTGTCTGGACAGTGTGCGGTACTCGTCACGCGAGACCGCGGCCGTGCGTCCAGGGCACCGCCCGCCGCCGCCTCCCCGTGGTGCGGCCCTGGCCCCCGCCACTGCCAGCTCGAGGCTCGACAGCGGGCCCCCTTCCCTGAGGCTCTCGGATCCCTGGCTGGTCCCTGCCGCGGCGTCTTGGGCCCTCGCCGCGAGGTGCGCCTCGCGCCCCTCGGTCGGCCCACTGCGGGTGGCGTTGTGTAGCTCGCGTGCGATGCGGCGCCGCTGGCCCGCTCACTTCGGGGGAACGTAAGACTCGAGCGAGCCGGAACTCGAGTTTGCCGACGTTCTTTGACGAGCGCGTCCTGGATTTTGGCGGTCCAGGTTTCGTGGGTTGCTTGCAGCAGGAGCTCGCGTCAAGCTTCAGATTGGGCAGTGCATTTTTTTTGATGGTAGCCCTATGAGGCCAACCCGAGCCCCCCGTAGTTACCCGAGTCTTGCGTCCTCCCGATCATTGCATGCCAACTGTCCCCCACCTTGGGGATAGCGTGCGCCGACAAGGTGCACGGAAGGGGCCCGCGCGGGGGGAGGCGCCCCACTGCGATCTAGCGCGTTTTTTTCGGAGATCGATGCTGCACGCTGTCTTTGCAACGCCAGCCGCCGTAGAGCGGTTTGGACTTCGGGGGTCCTTCTCGGTTCCACGGCTCCGCCCAGAAGTTCCTGTCAGAACGCGCGCCGGGGAAGGTCGGGGGACAGCCCTGGCCCGAGAGGGGCCCAGCTTCTCCTGGGGAGGCACAGGTCAGGAGGGGAAGAAACAACACACAGACACAATTAATCGTCGAGTCCCAGGAAAATACGGGGAAGCACAGATGAGAAAATATAGGGAATTCGGGGATGTGTGTGCATTTAGTCGTATGTCCCTTGGCCCCTTCAACGGGTGGCCTCCTGAGCACCCGCCACGAGGCCCACAGCACCCCAGCGGAGCCCCAAAGCAGCGCGAAAAAGCTGTGGGGACCTTGGGCTGGGATAACCTCCAGCCGCACCCTGGGCCCCCCCCCGGCGGCGCCTCTGGGGCCGCCCCTAGCTCAGGAGGGGAAAAAACACACAGACACAATTATTCGTCGATCCCCAGGAAAATATGCGAAAATATGGGAATTGGGGGGGACAACAAAAACCCAGAAAATATGAGAAAATATGGGGAATATTTTTATTTGTGTGTATTTATTTGTGTGTTCTGGGGCCCCTTTACTAGCGCGCTCCGCGCACCAGGGAGGGGGGTCCAGCGCAGATCCAAGAAACCCGCCCAGAGCGCCAAAAGTTTATGTTTATGGCGTTTCTGTTCTTCGTCTAATGTCTCTTTACCCCCTCTGAGACTGGGGCGTTGCAGTTTCTTCACAAACAGGCGTGTTCGTCCCGGTTCGGAGCCCGGGACCCTGACAGATCGAGCCGACTCGAGACGTGACGCAGAAAGACGGGGTCTCGGGCTCCGGGCGTGATTTCTCGCGATGTTGCAAATTCTTGTTGGCAACATCGGATCTCAGGGTCCTCCTCGCCCCGTTCGTCCGTCGGTCGGTGGGAGTGTTGTGCAGCTCTCGACTGTGGTGGGAGTGCTGCGCAATTCGGGAGGAATGTTGTGCGGGTTGGTGGGAGGCTTGTGCAGAGCGGCTGCGGGGCCATGAGGCGGTGCTGGCCTGCGTTGCAAATCGCCCCCAGACATCGCCCATGAGCTCGACTCCTATGACAAAAACATAAACATAAACATAAACTTTCGACGCTCCGCGTGGATTTCTCGGATCTGCGCTGGGGCTTCTGGCGGCACCTCCGGCGCCGCCCCTAGCGCGCCCCGCGCGCCAGAGAGGGGGGTCTGGCGCAGATCCAAGAAGTACGCGCGGAGCGCCAAAAGTTTCTGTTTATGTGGTTTTTGGTTTCTCTATTCTTCTCGATGTCATATGCATTTCAGGGGGCAGACAGTGGGGACACATGCCAAGAAACACCCTGCTTGCCTCCAGCGTGCCCTGGATTTCTTGGGTTTCGATGGGTTTGCGTTGGAAAGCGTGACGTTCCCACACCAACGACCAATGTACGTCCTGGGGTCTTAGGGTTGGGTTTCTTGTGGAAGGTTGGTCTTAGGGTTGGGTTTCTTGTGGAAGGTTTCTTGTGGACTGACCCCGGCTGTATCTACACAGGCGAGGGCAGGTCCTCGTCCTCCGCACCACGGGGGCCACCAGGGGAGCTCCTCGAGAGCGTTGGCGCGTCCTGGGGAGCGGCCCACCGCCTTTCGGCGGCGACGGTGAGGGCGAATCGCCCAGGTGCGGGCATTACACGCTTCGCCCAGGAGCCTCGCCGAAGGCGCGGAACATCGGCGCCCCTGGAGAAGGCTTTAATCCTGAACCACACATGCAGCTTCCTCGTGCAGCGGTGATTATTCCAAAACCCATCTGAGCGACGAAAGGGAGCGGGTCTTACGCAAAATGGCATAGCGATCTTACGCGGTGGCTTACCCGGGCCTCGAGCGCGGCACGCAATATTGTAAATCCGGGATTTTACGCGCGACCCTCCGCGGGCAGCTTCCGCACCAGTGTTTTCACCAAAGAGCCCCTAGCTGTAATAACATAATGAAGACGTAGCCTGATTTAGGTCCCCATGTTTGCAGTAGGATTTCTGAATATACTTAGTTTTGCTTGATACATCTGCACAAATGACCCTTATCCCTAATGTTCTGGGCCTCTTGACTCAGGTCTGGTCCCAAAGGATTAGGGGTCCTTTTATTGCTGATCAATTCGACCCCATCGTCTCGCCCGCCGCCTTTGAGGAGAACCTCCTCCTCCACCTACTCACAGCACGGGCCGCGCTTCGGGAGCTCAGGCTGAGCGAGCCCGAGATCCAGCAGGCCCAGGGGCGGGGCAGGGCAAGGACTCCTCATAGTATTTACCCTTGCCTCGTCCTCCTCCCTCTCCTCCGCCTCCTCTCTCCTCCTCCTCCTCCCCCCCTCCTCCTCCTCCTCCTCCTCCTCCTCCTCCTCCTCCTCCTCATCCTCCTCCTCCTCCTATCCTCCTCCTAGCCTCCTCATATCCTCCTCCTCCTCCTCCTCCTCCTCCTTCTCCTCCTCCTCCTCCTTTCCTCCCACACCCAAGAATTACTTTCTCTTCCCCACTCGCATCGCCCCCCCCTATGGCTAGTGGACATCCTTCTCCTCTTCCTGCTTTCACGCACGGACACCAGCACCCGCAGTTCTTACTTGCTGTGTACCCACAGGAGGAGACGCTGAAGGAGCTCAGGAATTCGGCCCTGCAGGACAGTTCCGTCCCTCCTCCCTCGTCCTCTTCCCCCGCCTCGACCTTGATCGCCCTCATCCTCGTCTTTTTGAGTAGCTCGCCCATGTCGCACCACCAGGCGTGTCAGTAGGCCGTGCTGCGCGTTTCGCCTGAGACTTTCGTGCCGCCCACAGTCCTGAAACTAAAACATCAACCAGTTACAAGCATGGAAGGCTCATGGCCTTACAAATGCGGCTCTCGCATTAGCGCCACGCACAGCCCTTGCAGGCGTTCCCCGCAGCTGCAAGGATACGAGCCGGCTCGTTCTCAAAGTGCGGCTCTCGGTCGAGACGTTCAGTTGTGAAAACAAAGGTACACGGAGGAAGGGCGGCTCCGCTTCGGCATCGGATGTTCGCTTGAGGTGCCAGCGAGTCTCGCGCCTCGCTGAAGTATTCCGATGTCCAGAGCCCTGCTCTATTCCGTTTCCTCCAGCCAGAGGGGTGGGGTCCTTTTTCGGAGCAGGGCCTCGCGTGCGCAGCAGGCCCATTGGGCGCTCGTCATCTGATTTGGGCGCTTCCCGCAGTGGGAGGGCAGACACTTGCATGCTTCACTATCCGCTGTTATGCCGATCGGCGCGGGCCCCCCAACCCCCCCCCCCCTATGGAGGAGAAGATCTTGGCTGTTTTTTGGCGCCTGTGTCGAGCGGGTGGAGTCTACCAGAGGCCCCACTCTTGTAAACACTCGCACTAGGCAGAGGTCTGGAGCCAGACCCCCCCTCCCCTTTGCCGCCCAATGTCGAAGCGCCGAATAAAAGAACGCTCACAAATGGACTTATGAGGGACTTGGGACGGGAGGGTGTATTGCAGCATTGTTGGTGCATCTCGTTGGGTTTACTTTCGATGTTCGTTTCCCTCGTCGTCTTCCTCCCCTCTCCTAATCTTCCTTCAGGACAGCGGCGTGACCTCGAGAGAGATGATGGGGCTCCTGAACGTCGATTCGTCCACCCCGCAGCTGATAAATAAGAGCTACGACCCCGCCCTGGACGGTCGCTGGGATGGGTGCTGACAGGAGGAGGAGGAGGAGGAGGAGGAGGAGGAGGAGGAGGAGGAGGAGGAGGAGGAGGAGGAGGAGGAGGAGGAGAGGGAGAAGGAGGAGGACGACCAGTGTAAACCCGAGGCTCATCAACGATATTGCAGTGCACCCTCCAAGTTCCCTCTGCCAAGGCCCCTACACGGATTCGTTTTCACTGAAGGAAGTGCCCCGTGGAAGACAACCGGTTGCAAAGCCAGACTTGTGCCAGCTCGCCATTCCTGGGACATCAACGCCGCGAATCACCGTGATTGCGTCTTGACGATCCTGACTCGTGCCCACTAACTAACAAAAACCGTTTCTGGGACGTTAGCAGTGCGAAGCCTTGACATTGCTGCAGAGTCGTGAGACGAACGTGCGCGGCGCTGAGGGCCACAGCCACACTTTGAGAAGGAGCCGCCCTCCATCCGTGGCGCTCCTGCCAGACTTGGAGACGAGTGTGCGCGGCGCCGAGGCGAGAGCCGCACTCCGAGAAAGAGGCCGCCCTCCCTCCGTGGAGCTCGTGCAAGCTGTGAAGACGAGCGTGCGCGACGCCGAGGCGAGAGCCGCACTTTGAAAAGGAGCCGCCCTCCATCCGTGAATCTCTTTGCGAACGTTTAGATGAAGGTGCGCGGCGCCAAGGCGAGACCACACAAACTCTTGCAATGCTCACGCTTCAGGGTCATAAGTGGTGAGGAGCTCTCAAGGGACACTTCCGGCCCCGCCCTTTGGACTGGCCTCGGCGTGCGACAGGGAGGAGATAATCATAAGGCCAAGGAAGAGCAGAACAGGAGGATGAGGAGGAGGAGGAGGAGGAGGAAAAGGATGACAAGGACGAGGGCGAGGATGGGAACGAGGAAGTGGAGGAAGAGGAGACAGGAGGAGGAGGAGGAGGAGGAGGAGGAGGAGGAGGAGGAGGAGGAGGAGGAGGGAGGAAGGAGGAGGAGGAGGAGGGGGAGGAGAGGATGATGAGGAGGAGAGAGAGGACAGCGAGGAGGAGGAGGAGGAGGAGAAGGATCAGGAGGAGAGAGGAGGAGGAGGAGGAGGAGGAGGAGGAGGAGGAGGAGGAGCAAGGGTCGGAATAGAAGTTTGTTTCTTGCCGCGCCCGGTGTCCAAAAAAGAACCCCCACGCTGCGGTTTCCTCGAACGGCGCGAGGAGGAGGAGGAGCAGGAGGAGGGGGGATGGAGGGAGGAGGAGGAAGAGGAGGAGGGAGGAGGGAGAGGAGGAGATGGAGGGAGGAGGTGTAGGATGAGGAGGAGAAGGAGGAGGAGGGGAAGGTCATGCTGATGCCGTTGTTTGTTGTTTTCTCTCTGGTGTTCATGCCCGTCAGCGCCGCGGAGCCCCCTTCCTTCGGCAGCGGGGCGCCCGTGGGGCCTCCGCAGCCCGCGGGTCGCAGCAGCGTCGGCCGGGCCGACTCCAGGCCAGCGGGGATGCCCTCGTTTTGTTCGGTCCTCGCCTCCGCGCCCCACGTATACCCCAGAGGGCAGGCCTATCCTAGTGCTACCGTTGGCGCCATTGCAGGGCCCCCCCCCAGGCTAAGGGAAGGCCTAGAGTGGGGCCTACCCTGGGCTACCCAAGGGCCTGGGGTAGGCCCTAGGGTAACCCTAGGGTTTTGCTCGTTCCTCGCCTCGCGCCCCCGACCGCGCCAACCGTTCCGCCTTTGGCGCCACCCGCACGTGCTGCAGCCTCGCCTCGGTGCGCTGCATTTCTTGAGGAGGAGGAGGAGGAGGAGGAGGAAGAGGAGGAGGAGGAGGAGGAGGAGGAGGAGCAGGGGGAGGAGCAGGGGGAGGAGCAGGAGGAGCAGGAGGAGCAGGAGGAGCAGGAGGAGGAGGAGGAGGAGGAGGAGGAGGAGGAGGAGGAGGAGGAGGAGGAGGAGGAGGAGAGAGGGAGGGAGGGAGGGAGGGAGGAGGAGGAGGGGGAGGAGGGGGAGGAGGAGGGGAGGGGGGGGAGGGGGGAGGGGGAGGGGGAGGGGGAGGGGGAGGGGAGGGGGAGGGAGGGAGGGAGGGAGGGAGGCAGTGAGGGAGGGACGTGGTGTGGTGCTGGCCGTCTGGGCGCCGCTGCCCCTGCTGGCAACACAGGGCCCCCGTGAGCTCCCCGCCGCCCGCCCGCGCCGTGCAGCCCGCGGGAAGCCCGTCGCGCGGGGCGCTGCCCGCGCTCGCCGTGCGAGCCCGCTCGAGGCTCTGACGGCCTTCGCCGTGCGACCTGGCGCGGCATCCGTCCTCGCTGGAGTCTTCGCCGCCGCGCGGCCCCGCTTGCGACGGCCTGGCGAGGGGGGAGAACGCGCGGGCCGAGCGGGCCGCGCACGTGCTCCGGGTTTCTGGATATGCGTGGGGGCCCCGACGGGGGTCAACCTCGCCTCGTCGTCGCGCCGCGACGGAGGTCGGAGCGCCTTCGGCGCGCGGTGGCTGCCCGCGACAGGGGTCGATGTGGGACTGTCGGCTTGGGTGACGCCCCCCCGGACGCTCATCAAGAAACTCGGAGTACCCAGAGATCCGAGGCCCCGACGAAGTTGGGGAGCGGCCTGTTTCGGTATATGTTCGGTCTCGGCGGGGCCCCTCCACGTGCCCCGGGGCCGTCAAGAAAACGATTCAGGACCAAAAGTTGGCCCTAGGGAAGTGGTCCAGACCTCCGGGGGTCCACGCGTCGAAAAGCTTGCAGCGCCAGATGTCTGGGGACGGGAGCGGGGCTTTAGGCAGTCTTTGCGCGGCGCTGCGGCGAAAGCACAACTTGCCCTGCTGTCGGGCGTCGACTGGCGCGGCGAAGCCGAAACATGTGCCGTGCCGACACAGCACTGCCACTCATGTGCAGATTGCGCGGCTTTGTCTCCAACGATTTGGCGAGTGAATAACATGCGCCGCGCTGGGGCGGGAGCGCCACTTTCAGGTGAAATTTGCGCGGCGCCTCGACATTCAGAATTTTCGCGCGCATTGTAGCCCCCGTCCCCTTTCCGCCACGAATTCGGAAATGTCGACGACGAAACGTCCATGATGAAAGGGAGAACGTCGACATCCGATTGGCTTTGGACGGATGGGAAGGGACCTCCCGCATGGCGTCGCTACTTGCTTGCCAGGCGGTTTAGTAGGAGTCTATAACATTGACGACGAACGATACGAGGAGGAGGAGCGGAGGAGGGAGGTAGAGAAAGCAGAAGGAAGAGACGGATCATAATGTTCGCGATGATGATGAATTTAATTGAATGATGATGATAATGATGATGATGATGGTGATGATGATGTTGATGATGAGTCTGATGATGATGCTGATGATGCTGATGATGATCCTGATGATGATGCTGATGTTGATGCTGATGATGCTGGTGATGGTGATGGTGACGGTGATGGTGGTGATGATGAGGATGAGGGTGAGGATGAGGGTGAAGATGGTGATGGTGATGGTGATGATGATGCTGATGATGTTGTTGCTGATGATGATGATGATGATGATGATGATGATGATGATGATCACGATGACGATGAGGATGATGATCATGATGATGCTGATGATGATGATGAGGATGAGGATGATGATGAGGATGAGGGTGAGGATGAGGATGAGGATGATAACGAGGATGAGGATGATGATGATGATGATGATGATGATGATGCTGATGCTGATGATGATGATGATGAGGATGAGGATGATGATGATGATGATGATGATGCTGATGCTGATGATGATGCTGATGCTGGTGGTGGTGATGGTGATGGTGATAATGATCTTGAATTTTCATTTCTAATGCATACTGTTTGTCGATCCCCCCTCTGGTGCCCAGTTCGTTCATCAATTGAAGTGCCCTCCAGTGCTCGCACGTTGGTTTTTTTACAGGGGTAAATCTTGGGGCTCAAAAGTGTTCCCGTGGTCCCCAGTTTACTACAGCATCGGTTCCCACACCATGTATTCAGAAACGTGCCTCTCGTGCGGGGTGTCTTCACAGTTATACAGGAATTGCGCTCTCGCGTTGGACTCCGCCGCAATTTATCAACACGCTACGCCCCAGACGCTCAGGAATTTCACGCTCTCGCTCTGGACTTCCCCACGACTTATTTGGGAATCGCGCTATCGCCCGAGACTTTCCTGCGATTCATGCAGGACTGACGCTTCAGCGACCCGCCCGCTCGACCTGGCCGTTCAGGCCCGCCCGCCAACCCACCCGTTAGGGTCCGCCCGCCCGACCCGCCTGTCCGGTTCTGCCGCCTGTTTTCCTGCTATCCCCCTCCTGCTAATCTCCTTTGTGCTCCATCGTTCTCCCTCCCCCTTGTCCCTTCCCTGATCCCTCCCTTCCCTTGTTTCAGGGGCTGCGCCAACTACGCGTTGCATGCCAGGAAGAGATAGCCACAAGTGGGGCACGATCGAAGACTAGGAGAGCGGGTACCGAGGGTTGGGGATGTATATGTTGATTGACATGGGAGCGGATGAGAGCGAACGGTCTTAACATGATGGTTGTTGAATTTCGTTTCTAAAAATGACTGATGTTGATTCCCCCCTCCCGTGTACCTTCTGTTTTTGATTGGAGTGCTGCTCCTGGAGCTCGCACCGCTTTTTGTACAAGGTATCGTCTTCGGCTTAGATTGCGCCCCTGGTCCCCGTTTTACTGCAACTAGTTCCTCACACTATACTCATAAGATTGTCTTCGCTGTGGGCTTCCTCACAAAGTATGTTGGGATCGCGCTCTCGCGTCGGACCTCCTCGCAGTGTCTTGAGGCGCCGCGCCCTCGACACTCAGGAGCCGCGCTCTCGCACAGGACTTCCTGACGATTGGCTCGGGAGTCGCGCTAGCGCTCGAGACCTCCTCACGATTCGCTCATGGCTGACGCTTCAGCGACCCTCCCACTCGACCTCGCCGTCTGGAGTGGCCGTCTGGGGGGGGGATATCTCCCAGATGTCGGGCCCCCCTCTTCTCTAAATAGGTTTCGTGACCCTCCCCCCGGCCGCGCACATGCCTCTGTCCATGATTTCTGACTCCCCTCTCTTGGACGCCCCCGACGTTATGGTCCGCCCGCCCGATCCACCCGTCTGGTTCTGCCGCTTGTTTCCTCGCTCCTACTCCTCCTCCTGCTACGGACTTTCGTCTTCCATCCTTCTCCCCCCCTTGTCCCTTCCCTCCTCCCTCCATTATCTGTGTTTAGGGGCTGCTCCAACTTCACGCGGCAGGTCAGGAAGAGATACACCAAGAGTGGTACGTTCGAAGACGAGGAAGGCTGTTATGAGGGTTTAGGATATTAATGTTGAGTGGCACGCGAGCAGATAATAGCGAGCAGTCTTACATTGAGGGTTGTTGCTGATCGTGCAGGTGATGATGATGACGATGTTGTTGATGATGATGATGATGATGCTGATGATGATGCTACATATGATGCAGATGATGACGATGCTGTTGGTGATGGTGATGGCGATGGTGATGTGATGATGGTGATGACGATGATGATGCTGATGCTGATGCTGATGCTGCTGCTGTTGATTATGGTTGTGGTGAGGACGATGATGGTAATGTTGATGGTGTTGATGGTGATGGTGAGGCTGGTGTTGATGATGATGATTATGATGATGATGATGATGCTGATGATGATGATGATGATGATGCTGAGGATGATGCTGAGGATGATGATGATGATGATGCTGATGATGATGATAAGGAGGAGGAGGAGGAGGAGGAGGCGAATGAGGAATTGGAGAAGGAGGAGGACACCTACTAGTATGGTGGAGATGGGGGTCTTCACTATTAGGGTTGCGGATCTGTTTCGCGATGTCTGTCCACCCCTTTCGGGATGCGAGCGGCGCGCGAGATAACAAGATCAGCATCACACATTTTGATGTGGCCACGGACAAAAATGATGGATAGGAGGATGCCATGGAGGATGACAAGGAGGATGAGGAGAAGGGGTGAAAAGGAGGAGGGATTAATATGAGGTGGAGTTCGATGAAGAGGATGACGAGGGGTTGATGAAGTGAGGAAGAGGAAGGCTGGTGAGAGAGAACGAGGAGGGCAAGAGGCGGGTGGGGACGAGGTGGAAAAAGAGGAGCAGGAGGAGCAGGAGGAGGAGGAACAAGAGCGCCACAGGGAAACTGTTGGTCGGTCTTACGTAAAAAAAAAAAAAGAGAAGGAGGAGGAGGAGGGAAGACTGGACAGGGGAGGGTGCCTCTTCTTCCTGCTGGAGAGCGGCAAGGGCCCGCTGGAGATCGGCAGCGACGAGCGCTGCCAGATCCAGATGCCCGGCCTGGAGCCCAGCATGGCGTTCGTCAACAACCAGGAAGCACGGGGGGTGGCAAGACTGAGGGCGGGAGAAGGTCGGGGGCGGCGAAGAGGGGGGTGATGACTCGGGGGGGGGGGGGGAGACCATGGCGTGGGCCATGAGATCTCCCCAGATTTCACGGCGCCTCTTCTGATTTCAACACGTCCCTGGACCCCCTTGTGCCGCGCACATGCCGCGGGCCATGATTTGCAACTCCCCCTCTTGAATCTGCACGAACGAGATGGGCACGGAAAGAAGAGGTACAATGCCCAACAGCAGTTCCTGTTCATTTTGAACAGGACTCGCTGTCCGCGCCGCCGCGGCCTGTGTCCATTTGAGACAGAAGGCCGCCTGCCCAACAGCGGCCGCTGTTGGTTTGGGACAACATTTGTCGTTGGGCATTGTACCCATTCTTTCGGTACCCATTTCGGGTGTCCAAATTGAAGGAGGGGGGGCGAATAAAAGGGGAGGCAGCGGTCGGAGGAGGGAGGGTGGGATGGCTGGGAGGACGGAGCGGGGGGAAGAGGCAGGGAGGCGGGAGCCGGGCTGAGAGGAGGGGGGACGAGCGCTGGACAGAGCAGGAGGGGGAGGAACGGGGAAGCATGGGGGAAGGAGGAGGAGGAGGAGGAGGCGGAGGAGGAGGAGGAGGCGGAGGAGGAGGAGGAGGCGGAGGAGGAGGAGGAGGAGGAGGAGGAGGGGCCCCCATACGCGGCACGCTGCCCGGCAAGCCAGGCTTGCGCGCACGGCCCGGCACAGGGTGGCGGCCACCTCCTGCACGGTGGAGGTGGGGCGGGGGGCGTCTGGCCCCTCGGATCTCCCCGGAGCAGGAGGGCGAGGAACGAGGAAGCGTGGGGGAAGGAGGACGAGAGAGGCGGGCGGGCGAGGGCTGAGGGGCGACCACAGCGCGACTGGAGCACAGCCCGCGCTGTCCACCAGACCCGGTTCGCGGGCAGCTTCCGCGAGCACACCATGGATAGCATCCCGGACTTCCAGCTGCACCCCGAAGAGAAGATGTGTCGGAGGTAGATAAACCTCCTACCCTGACACGTCGATTAGTGAATTGTCCGTTTTCGGTTCTCGAGAGGGCGCCGCGGCCGTTATTTTCCAGGCTTGCGCCCGCCAGGTTTCGGCCCTGAGTCGTTTTCACTAAACCACGTTTTACTAAAGGGAGGTCTGTCCATCCTCGAATGTGGGACCCTGGAGGCCGCCCGCTGCAGGTGCGGGTTAAAAACAAGACAGTGGCGGACCTCGTGAATGGGAGAGAGGTTCTGGCCGACGATTCGTTTCGGCCTCTATTCGTGCGCATTCTGAGGAAACTTGCGGCTCTGAGCGAACGCGGCTGGCTACCGATGCGGGGGTATCTCCCGCTCGGAGGCGCAGAGAATATAACAACGTAGCGGATCATGTTGCCAACCACATCCCAGAATCAGAAACATCATGGAGGTGGCGCCCTTCTGATCACGCTCGAGCCAGGATGGCTCCTAGACTCCTGCTTTGTTCCGACGGCGGTTTTGCGTCAGGACGCGATGTTGCAGCGAGTTGCCGCATTGATCTGTCCACCGAGAGGCAAGTTCTTGTTGGCACCAGGGGCACGCACATGCGCTGCTGTCGCAGCGCCTTCGAGGCTGAAGCTGTGGCACTCGACGAAGGCTTAGAGGCGTTCCTGTCGTTTGCAGGTAGACATTATCCTCCCCCTCCCTCCTGCTTCCTTCTGCCACTTGGCATGCCAGTTTCCGGAGTAGCGTTGTAGCAGCATCTTCCTTTAACGTGCGCCTCATGAGGCTTGGCACGAGTGCAAAGAAGAAAGAGACGGGGGGGCGATGGAGGAGGAGGAGGAGGAGGAGGAAGAGGAGGAGGAGGAGGAGGAGGAGGAGGAGGAGGAGGGGGAGGAGGACGAGGAGGAGGAGGAGGACCAGTGCAAACAAACGCAAGATTCACCAACGATTGTTGGACTACACCCTCCCTCCAAGCTCCCTCTTCACAGGCCCCTACGACAAGCGGCACTGGGGAGGCGAGGGAAAATGCCCACTGGCATGCCCCTGACAGACTCCAGGGCACACCAACGTTCCCCTCAGCCCAGGAAGCCCTGCCCAGAGCACCTGAGGGGGGAGGCGATGAGGGGATCCGTAAACGTACAGATCCACGACGGCCGAGTCAATCCTCTTGAGCTCGGACACGTAGTGAAGTTCGGCCGGATCCGAGCCGCTGGAAATGTCCCCCTTGCCTTCGGGGGCCACGGGGCTAAACCACACCTCCTTCCCCTCTTCCTCCTCCTCCTCCTCCTGCTCCTCCTCCTCCTCCTCATTATCCTTCTCCTGTTCCCTCTCAGACTCCTCCTCCTCCTCCTCCTCCTCCTCCTCTTCCTCCTCCTCGTCCTCTTCTTCCTCCTCCTCATTATCCGCCTCCCTCCTCCTGCTCTTCCTCCTCCTCCTCCTCCACCTCGTCCTCCTCCTCCTCCTCCTCCTCCTCCTCCTTGTCCTCCTCCTCCTCCTCCTCCTCCTCCTCCTCCTCCTCCTCCTCCTCTTCCTATGCTCCTGACCGACGCCGCCCGGCCGCCCCCACCGGCCCCCGCCAGAACGGCTCCCTGACCATCCGGCACGAGGCCGGCAGGGTGTTGCTCAACGGCCGCCAGATTGGGTCCGCGGAGGACCCCCCAGCGCTTACCGGGAGAGGGAGGGGGGAGGAGGAAGGAGGTGAGAGGTCTTTCGCTTCCTCGCCGCATGAGTTCACTGTTTCATGGATTGGGGAGAAGCACGGCCTGCCGTTTGAGTTCTGTGCCACGTGCGCAACGGGGTGACGTCCGTGCGCCGCGGTTCTGCGCCACGAGTGCCACCAGGTCCAGCCTCGAAGGGCCCAGGCCCAGGCGGTGCCCGAGGGGCAGCTCGGATCGCAACCCCATCCCCCAGAGGTCCTGTGCGAGACCGCGACGCGAGACTGTTCAGCATTGTCCCTCAAGGGGCACGGCTGCTCGTCTCGTTCCGCCCACGCGGGCGCACCGGGGCTGGACCCGAACGCCGGTTTGCTGGATTTCGGCTGCGCTTGTTTTTTCTTGTCTTTTGGAAGGAAGGTACAGGAAAGCAGGTAGAGCAGAACGCGAACGCACAGAACGAGCACAAAACGGAAAACTGCGAGTCTTTGGGGGGCGCGGGGGCTTGGGTGCCATACCAGGGCGGCTGGTGCGTCTGATTGGGATCCGTAAGGAACACGGAGGGCTCGGAATCCTGTTGTGGGGGTGGGGCACAGGTGGTTTGGAAGGTGATGTTGGGGGGGGGACTTTTGGGGCAGTCTTCGCGCGCTCTGGGGCAACTTTGGGAGCTCTGGCCGTCTTGGGGCTCTCTTGGGCCCTCCTGGGCCTTTTAGGACGGGTCGCCCGTGGCCCTGCTGGGGCTCTCTTGGGTGCCCAAAGGGCACTTCGGGGCCCTTCTTGGGCCGTCATAGGGGCTCTCTGAAACTCTGTTGGGTTTTGTTGCTGGCCCGTCTTGGGGCTCTCGTTTTGAGGCCTTCTGGGGCGTCTGATGGCGATTTCGGAGGCTCTCGGGCTGGCTTAGACGCTCTCAAAACCAACACGTTGAACACGTGCGTTCTCCTGAAGGCATGTGAGGATTGTTGCTTTCGTGGGGGGGTCGCTCGGGACCTTTGGGGTCGTCTCGAAAGCTTTGGGGTCGTCGCGAAGTCGTTTTTGGACCTGGACATGTCACAGGAGGAACTCCAGGATGCCATCGAGGTGGTCTTGGAGGCCGAACGCGAGGTCCGGGAGGCCCAGCTGGCGGGCCAGAGAAAACCCCAGGGGCCCCCGGGGACGGGCCAGAGAGAGCCTCAGGGTCAGGGGCCCCTGGGACCGCCATATTCTATTGTTTGAGGGTGGTGGTGGCCATCCCTGTGGACTTCCGGGTGTAGGACAGTAAAGACAGGAATCCATGCAGCCCGAACAACTGTGGTGTGTCCCCCCTTCCCTCCACCCCTCTTGGAATTGCGTGTGATACTGTATCAGCCATTTTGGCTTAGTGCCATCCTGCCACAGGATGTAGGCGTTTCCTTGGGCCCCTCAGGCGTTGACCGTGAAAACGAAGCGTCCTCCTCTCTTTCTCGGTTGGCTTCATGCCGACACCACAATTGTGACCAGGACAGTTCTTTTGGCATTCGAACCGCCGCCGCCCCCTGCCCTTTTGAATCCGGCAATGTGGCCTAACGTCGCGCCACCACCTGGCTAAGCTATTGGAACATGGGCTCCCTCAGCCGCCGTGGAAACCCATGAGAGGAATCTTTGGAGGAGGAGGAAGAGAAGAGAAGAGAAGAGAAGAGAAGAGAAGAGAAGAGAAGAGAAGAGAAGAAGAGAAGGAGAAAGGCGTTGACAGTGAAAACGAAGCGTCCTCCTCTCTTTCTCGGTTGACTTCATGCCCGACGACAGTGCCGACAATGGTCGCCGGAGCGTGGATGCAGCGGGCACGGAGGGGCAGGCGCCGGCGAACACCGAAGCGTCAGGGGCCCGGGACGATGATCCCACCGCACGTGGTGGGGCACATGCTGGAGGCTGGGAGGATATCCCGACACCAGAGAGATCTGCACCAGGCGAGCAGTGGAGCGATCGGACCGACAACTGGTCCTGCCACCCGGCGTCGCGAACTCTGGCGTCCTCCAGCGGGACCCACTGCTATAGCGACGCTCGCCGCCGCCGCTGCCTGCCCCCGCGCTGCCTGCGCCCGCGAGTCCCCAGAGCCCGCCGCAGCGTTGCCGGGCCTGGACGGCCGGGGCGCGGGAGCACCCGGAGGGATAGCTGGCGCTGGGTGCAGGACCAGTGGTCAGCAGATTGGTGGAGCAGCGAGTGGCGCGGCTGGAGCGACAGCGACGGCCACGACGACCAGGGCGTCAAGTGGAGGAGCCCCCCCGAGAGGTCCAGGGACTTCTCGGCTCCGCTACAGTTCCCGGGCCTCGAGCACGTGGACTTGTACGCGGCCAACTTGCGCTCGTGGGCGAGGCGCGCGGGAGTTCTTCCAGAACGCCAGGCCGCGAAGATTCTCGAGGGGTTCTCGATTGACTTGCAGGGGAAGTTCAAGCTGGTGCGCTCCGAGATGGACGAGGAGGACGGCATCGAGAAGCTCATCGCCCATCTGTGTCTGATGAACGGGGAGCGCCCAGGTGACAAGGAGAGAGAGGCCCAAGGGGCAGCTCTCTTTGATGTGCAGATTCGGAAAGGCGAAAGTCTGACGAGCTTCGTCCTGAGGAGAGACGAGCAGTTAGCAGCGGCTGAGCGCGCATGACTTTCTCTGCCGGACGCCGTGAAGGCGAGGTTCTACGAGGAGGGAGCTCGATCAGCTGAGCACCCAGAACAGGATCAACCTCAAGACGCTGATGCAGGGAGACTCCTCGGCATCGGCGACGAGAAAGGCGATTTTGGCCATGGACGTGACGGATAAGACAGTTCTACCGGGCCAGTCGAGACCTGCTGGATCCAGGGGCTTCCCCAAGATCGATGAGGACGACGAGGATGCAAAAGGTCTCGGAGAGGAGTTCGACATCTTTGAGACGGAGTTTCTCGAGGACGAGGCCGAGGTTTCGTTACGACACTGGAGGACAAGGACCTGTACGAGGACGAGGCCTTTCAGGTATACGCCGATTTTGTGGTCACGAAGAGACGCACGTGGATGGAGTCGAAGCAGCTGAAAGCAGCTCGCAAAGTGGACAGAGATTTCTTTGACCGCAAGCGTGGAGATCACCCCCCTTCTCCAAAGCAGACGCACCGCCGAATTTCGAACCAGGATCTAAAAAAGAGGACCAGGTGCACTAACTGTCGCGATAAAGGGGCACGGCGTGAGGACTGCAAGAAGGCCTACCGCTCCAAGGCTGACAGGCTGAAAGCGGAGGGGGCCGGCCGGAGGTCGACGACGAGCTCGGGGGCTGCGGCGGCTCGCGGGTCGGGGGACTTCTACTTCTCGTTCGACTCGTTCGGCACCTCAGCGCCGTCGTGGGCGAGCTTCGTGGAGCAGCTGGCTGAGGCGCCGGCTGAGGTCACCGAGGCGGACCACTTCGCGGGCATCACGCTGAGGGACATGGGCGACCACGCCCTCGTCGACACGGCCGCCGCGCAGGCGCTGATCGGAGAACCGGATCTTCAGATTCCTCGCCAGGCGTTTCAGCAGAAAGGATTTCGAGTGCACGTCGTTCGCTGTGACGACTTGCCGAGCGCCAACGGGGTCGGCAGCAAGGTGAAGCTTGTGGCCCAGGCTCTTGTTCCCCTGAGCTTCCACAGGTGCGGGGTGCTGGAATTCCTGGCGCTGCCGCACGCGTGTCCGCCGCTCCTGCCAGCCGGCTTTTTGGAGTTTCTGAATGCGCACATTGATCTTCAAAGTAATTGGATGACCGTCGGCGGCAGCGATCGGGTCAAGATTCAGATGGTGAAGCTTCCGTCCGGACATCGCACGACCTCGCTGACAGGCAGGGGGCCGAGGGACTTCAGGCTGGACCCCGAGCGAGCCAAGAGGTTTCCAGAGTTCACGACCGACGAGAGCAAGGGAGACTACTGGCAGGACCTCGGAGACAGGGTCCGCTTGGTGCACGTGCGTCCGAGGCGGACGATGGTCGATCCTCGGACTCTGACCGATCTCCCGAGGGTTCTGGGTGACTTGAGCGGACGGGCGACGACCAGCTGCCAGTTCAAGGACAGGGACGACGTCGAGGTAGAGCACTACTTCGAGGGCGACTGGAGGACGGACGACCTCAACGGCACGATGCCCGACTACTGGATCGGCTACACGGAGTGCCGGGTGAGCGGCGGAGCGCCCACTCAGGACGGGCGGGGCAGCGTGTTTGCACGCAGTCAGTCTCTCTCCTCCTCTCCCTCGTCCTCTGCGCGCGTGGAGGGTGTCTCGGGGCCAACTTTCGTGGGTTGTCTTGGGAAGGCTGAGGCCTACATCCTCTCTGTAGCTACTCCCGGCCCAAGCCTACACGCAAGCAGAAATCACACTTGTTCCAGTGGTCCGACTCAGTTCTCCGCGCCGGGCCATGTCAGTTCCAGGCGTCAAGAAGCAGCTCGGCCGCAAGGGTGCTCCGAGCAGGGCGCGCACGGTGGGCTACCTCAAGGGCAGGTCGAGGGCCACGGCCAGGGCAGCGGGGAACCAGAGTCCGGTCCACATGCCGGACCTCCCCGAGGGCTCCAAGATCGAAGCCAACTGGGACATGACGCCGGACCTGTGGCACGACTCGGAGCTCCAGGGGATCGATTACACGGGGATCGAGATGAGCGAGACCGAGAAACAGCTCTTAGCGGAGGGCGGCTTCCCCCTCGCCCCGGGTCAACAGGCCTGGAGGCATTGGGCGCTCAAGCGTCTGATGGTGCTGAGCTACTGCGTCGCCTCCCGCACGACGGCCCACCTCGCGCCTCTCGTCCCGATGCCAACCGGAGAGTCCGACCTGGAGATCTGCCATCATGCCGTGGAGCATCGTTTGCGGAAGGAGAACCAGTACGCGAACTGGATCACGCGCGGCATTTGTCTGGCTCGGATCAGCTACCACAGCAAGACCAAGGAGGAGCAGATCGATGCCAAGGTTCAGAAGGATATCGATCAGGAGCGCAAAGAAGCGGGGCAATATCAGCGAGCAGAAGGAGATCAAGGCCAAGGTCGAGATGATACTGGCCGACGAGGGCCTGGTGGAGCCAGAGGAGCAGGATGCGCCGGTCCGAGCGTTTCCCACCCGCAAGGCCCGTCAGCCCCCCATCGAGTCGACTTACCCGGCCTTCCCGTTCTCGGACACGTGCCCCGGCCACCCGAACACGATGTTCTGGAAGCCACCCCCGACGGCACCGCCGGCCAAGAAGGGGTCGACTCCGGCTGCGGTCAAGAGCCCGCCAGCCACGTCGCCTCTGGGCAAGAACCCCCACACCAGCCACAGCGACACTCTGCGCTTGCTACAGGACCAGGAGGCGAACCGCCAGGAGATCATGGAGTTCATGCACGCTCAGAGGGCTCCGCAGGAGACGACCGAGAGGAAACTTCAGCAGACGACAGAGAAGTTCAACGAGCTCATGGCCTGGCTCAAGAACAACATGGGCGGCGGCTCCAGCGGCAGCAGCGGTCCGGCCTAGACGACGAGGCGGCAGCGACCGGCTCGAGCGAGGCAGTCTGCGGCCCCAGCAGGCTCAGTTCATCATTTTCTCAGCCGGCTCGGCTGAGCTGCAGCTCGGGGCCTGACTTCCCTAGGGCCTCGGACTGGGCTGGAGGAAAAGCGCCGTCATCATCGTCATCGTCGTCTCTTCTTGAGGTCTCGAGTTTGGCGCCCGAGAAGATTCTGCAGCTTCGGGCTCTCCTCCCAGTGGGAGCCGATCCCAGCAGCTGGGTCTGGGACTTGGCCTCGGGCAGGCCAGTGAGGCTCGAGGAGGTCTCGAGGGTCATGGGCTGGGGTCGGAGGCAGCCGAATCGCTCCGAGAAGCTGGAATGGCTGGTCTACTTGGCCGCCATGAGGGCCTCAGGGCCCAGCGGCCCGAAGCGTCCGTGGTCCGAGGTCCAGAGAGTTAGGGTCACCTCCTCAGCGTCTGGATCTCGGCCGGACGTCCCTCTCGCAGACGCCCTGTGGGCCGGGGCCTCAGCAGCGGACCTCCAGAAGTCTCTCAAGGACTACCGGGCGGACGACCTCAGCGTCGCGATCTGGGTCCCAGAGGAGCCAGCCGCTAGCTTAGACAGTGTCCCCGGGTCTTGGGGGTCGAGGCTTTCGCCTTAGCGCCCCACTAGCGTCCCCTGAGGCCACGGTCCCGCGCAAAGTTAGGCAAAAGGCTCTTAGAACATTGATGGGCTCAGGGAACAGGTCGGGAAAGCGAAAGCTAATGAAGGCTCTACAACATCTTCAGGTTCAAGAAAACAGGACCCTTCTTTTGGAGCTTTTCTCCCCTCCCCGCGTCGCGCATGAGGTGGAGCGTAGGGGGCGCCTCGCCTCGCACGCCATCGATATGCCAACGGGTTGGGACCTTCGCCAGGCCTCGCAGAGAGCTAAGCTTTGGGAAGTTCTCGAGAAGGACTCCCTGCTGGTGGTCTCGATGAGCCCCCCGTGCAAAGCTTTCAGCGTCGCCCGGGCGCCTAACTGGCACAAGATGAGCCCGGGAGACAGGGCCAGAGTGGAGCAATCGTGTCTGATGTACTGGGGTCTTTGTGTCCAAGTGGCCATGTATCAAATCGAGCTCGGCAGATATTTCTGGCTGGAAAATCCACTCGGGGCCTTCTCTCAGCAGCTGAGCTCGACCCAGGAGCTTCTGAAGCAGCCGGGGGTCGGAGCGGTCCGTGGAGACCAATGCCAGTTCGATCTCAGGACTCTGGGCGGGGGTTTAGCCAGGAAGCCGACTCGCTTCATCTCAAATTGCTCCCAGTTGCTTCGGAGATGTGCGAAGATATGCGAAGGAGGGCACGAGCATTCGCATCTGGTGGTGGTGGGGGGGGGGGCAGGACGGCGGCAGCACAGAGCTACCCGCCGATGCTGGTTGCGGTTCTCGCTGACGGAGCTGAGCGGGCCGCGAGTGAGACTTGGCCGCGCTCGAGGGCTGACCAGGCCTCTTCGTTTCCAGGAGCCGCTGCCGCAGATGCGGCAGACCCCGATTCGGCGGATATCGTTGACGACAGCGATCAGGAAGGGCGGGAGACCCGACCTTCAGGGGCCAACCGGGAGCCCTCTCCCCCGTCGGAAGAGATTTCGAAGGAAATGCAGAGCGAGATCCTTAAGGTGCATGTGAACCTGGGCCATCCCAGACGGGAGCAGCTCGTGCGGGCTCTCAAGGTTGCCAAGGCCAAGCCAGAAGTGATCCGCTGGGTCTCACGTCACTTCGAGTGTCGGACGTGCAAGGAGACTTCTCGGCCAGGGTGGAGGCGAAAGGCCACCCTGCCTCGGACGTATCGGTTTAATAAATTGGTCGCGGCTGACTTGTTCTATATATGCGCTCTAGGCGCCACGCGGCCGATCCTCAACATCATGGATCACGGCAGCAACCTTCAGTCGTGCACGGTCTTGAAGGCAGCAACTGCCTCCGAGGTCTGGTCGGGGTTCTTGCGCGCGTGGGTGCGCCCCTCTGGACTTCCAGAGACCGTCACGACGGACGGCGGACCTGAATTCGAGGGCCAAATCAGCAGTAGCCTCGAGCATCATGGAATCTACCAGCATGTGTGCGACGCGGAGAGCCCGCACCAGAATGGGCGGTGTGAGAGGCACGGAGGCCTTGTCAAGGCCGCTCTCACGAGGGCTGCTCTGGGTGCGTCTCCGGGGACCCTGGGGGAGGTAGAGGACCTTCTGTGCGAGATAGTCGGGGCCAAGAACCGATGCACTCACAGGGGGGGTTCTCCCCTTTCCAGTTAGTTTTCGGCGGAAGCCCTCGCCTCCCCCGGAGCTTGCTTTCTGATGACGCGTGCGACGAGGTTGGGGTGGGTGACGTGGTCCGGGGGGCCGTTGACGCTGACACTCCGGCGGGAGCGTTTGCCCGCAAGCATGCCCTCCGGGCGGAGGTTTTCATGTCCTTGGATGTTCGGGATCGCCTCGTCGCGGCTTCGAAGTCTCGTCGACGCATCGATGCCGCGTATCCTCCGGGCAGCTGGGTCTACGTGTGGGGCGTCGAGTCCAGGCCAGGGATAGGTCATCTGACCTCGGCCGAAGCGGCTGGACAGGCCCCAGCGCAGTCGTTTTTCAGCAGGGCACGACCATTTGGGTCGCGATGCGTTCCAGACTTTTAAAGTGTGGTCAGGAGCAGGTGCGCTGGGCGACCAAGGAAGAAGCTTTGGGGGCCGAGTTGCTGGACCTTTCGTCTTTCGACTCCCACCGTCGGGATCTTCAGAATCCTGGGAAGCGCGCGGGGGCGGTCGACGTGGAAGCCGAGGGGCCCTCCCCCCGAGGCGTGAGACCTTCCGGGTCCCCCCGAAGGCTCCGGCGAGGCGTCGGCTGCGCCGGTCCCAGGGCCGCAGGCGGCTCTGCCTTCCGAGGGCCCAGGGCCAGCTCCAGCGCCAGAGGTGGCAGGGCCCGAGCCGCCGCATGTTCCAGCCGATCAGGCCTCGACCGAAGGCCCCATTTATATTTCCGATCCTCACCCCTCCGACCTCCAGGCCCCCTCTCCCCCGTCCTCTCCCTCCAGGCAGATCTCGGATCAGGAGTCGAGACATCCTCGGCCAAGGCGCGGGGTCGAGAGCTCCGGGGAACCGAGCTCCGGGTCTGAGTCAAGGCCACCCCCTTCCCAGCGTCCGCGTCTAGAGGAGCCGCCTCCACTCCCTCAGGCACGGCCGGTGCTTACCCCGGTCGAGGAACTTCTTCCTGCGGGAGGTCGAGTGCGAGCCATGGTCCGTGAGCGTGAAGGCGGAGACCTGCGTGGCCGGACGGCCAGGCAGATGCGCTTGCTCGATGATGTTCCAGTGAGCATCCAGACTCATGATCTGTCTCGACAGAGCTTGGCACGCCCAGGTGACGGCGGCGCCGCTGCTGCCTCATCTGCGTCTGCATCGCGAGCGAGGTCTCGCACACCTGAGGGGGGCCCCCGTGCTGGGGCACGAAGGTGAGCCTGTCACCGGCGCGGCTGAGCAAGCTGTGCGCCTGGCCGGCATGGAGAATGTTCCTCCGGGAGATCGTTTTCTGAGTTCTTGGGGGACCGGACTGGGCGGGGAAGTTGAGTCTGGCTATGACGAAGACGGTCAGGAGGAGTTGTGGGAGGAAGTTTGCTCTTGGTCTGGCTGGGAACCTTCCTTTTGGCCCCAGGGAGAGGGCGGCAGCTTTCCCTCGGCGGCTGGAGCTTCAAGCGGGGAAGCTCCACCGAGCCGGCGAGGAGCCGAAGTCTCTCTCAAGAATCTCTCGCGTGTTGAGCGAGAGTTGTTCGTTTTCTCGGATGCGAAGGAGTGGCGAGCCATCATAGATTCTGGGGCTGTCCGAATCGCCCCGGCCCAAGAGGCCTCGCTGATCCGTCGCCGCTGCCCTGATCGCATTTTGGGGCCCAGGATGGTCCGACGTTTTAAGCCCCAGGAAGGGCTCGGGACCGAGCCCATTGCTAAGTCTAGGTGGTGCGTACAGGGTCATCGCGACCCGGGCAGCGAGGAGCTTCAGGTGTATCCTCCGACGCCGCAGGCGGAGAGGATCATGCTGACGCTCCAAGCTGTGTGCTCGTTGGGTTGGGAGTTAGAGGTGGCCGATGCTAAAAACGCGTTTTGTCAGTCGAACAAGTTAGCCCGGCCACGCGGCCAGACCTATTGTGAGCCTTGCCAAGGTCTTTCGCTCGGGCCCGGCGAGCTTATAGAATTGATATCGCCAGTCTACGGGCTTAACGACGCCCCGCTGCTGTGGCATCGGACGATCACGCAGCGGTTAATTAGCTGAGGACGGGTTCGAGAAAAGCCCTTTGGAACCCTGCCTCTGGGTCAAGCGCTCTTCCCAGGGCGAGCCTCGTGCCTTGTCTCTGATCGAGGTCGACGATTTGATCGTCTCAGCTCACCCGTCAGAAGGCCGGCCTCAAGACTAGGCTGCAGTCGCGTTTTCGGTTTGGCAAGTGGAAGACCGGGGAATCCGATTTTGCGGGTAGTCACCTGCGCCGGGCAGGTAACCAGATCTACATGGATCAGGAAAAATATGTGCTAGAGCAGTTGACCGCTAATTATGCCGCTAGCTAAGGAACGACGAGCCGTCCCTGATGACCCTCTCACGCCCAGTGAGATCAAAGCGTACAGGACCATGGTGGCGCAGATCCAATGGCTAGGCAGGGCAAGCAGGCCCGACGTGGCCGCGTGTGCGTCGCTCCAGAGTGCTGCTCTCCCATCTCCCCTGGTGTCGGACGCGATCTTCCGCATCAAAGCCGTCAAGCATCTCAAGAGCACTGCCAGCCAGAAAATAGTGATTTGGCGCCTGGACCCATCAAGTGTGACATTCGTCACTATCTCTGATGCTGGAGGTCCCGGGTCCGCGAGGCGTAATGGAACCCAGGGCGGCTGGCTGGCGCCGGCAGCCGACTCGAGTATACGGCAGAACTGCCGATCGAGAGTATCACTTTTGGCTTGGAGGTCGACGCGCCTCAAGCGGGTCGTAGCGTCCACCGGGGCAGTGGAGACGTTGAGTCTCTCGGCTGCGCTGG